TAATATTTTAATATTTAATAAGAATTTATTGTGATTAGACGGACAAGATTTAATATATAATATTTGACACGTCAAATGTTGCTAAAATTGTAATTACTTTTATCTACGTATTATGTATTTTAATCAACAACAAAAAAAGACACTCATATTAAAAGCCACTATTAATTCAATTTAAACCTTTTATATATATATATATATATATATACTACCTGTCACGTGATAATTCCTTTATTATTCTGTGTTTTAGGGTCCCAGGGTCCATTTTCAGTTGGACGAACGAGATTCCCATCAACAAACTTTAGAAATGGCCATAACTCCAGTAAAAGTCCATCCTCCTACGGGTGTCAGAGTTCCGCTTAAGTCGTATAGCACGACAGAAATGAAGACAGCCATTGGTTTGACTAATGTAGTAAGTAACGTTCGAATAGAGCGGATGTTAGACACGACGACTACGTGGATAATTTTCGTTCTTCATATTTGGGACGTCGTGTGTTCAGATATTGGGAAGGAGACGAGCCTGCTTGCCCGATTGTTTGTCGTTTTCTCAGTCCCTCCAGGAAAATTTTGGATAGTGCCTTAAATTAGGCCACGACTGGTTCCTATTCTTAAAATTCAAATTCATTTGTCATTTGTCATCCCATCGTATTTAGTCTGTGCTAGTTAATTTTTCCATCTGTCGATAATAAAGTTGTTTTCGCTCACAGGCACATGGCGTGGAAGTCCTTGGGCACAACGAAGGTCATGTTGTGTCAGGACTGAGGTCAGTTCATCTGCCAATATCTACGCCACTGTCGAGTCTAAAACGTTCTAGGAGTCTCGGAGCAGCGGATATGGCGTCGAAGCAGCAGGGTCCCGCTGTAGAGGCGCCCGAACTGGGTAACTTTTCTCTTGAAATGCAGGAAACCATCAGTAAGGCAGTGGAAGGTGTGTTAGAGTAATTTTAATTTTGTGAGTTTTCAAAAAGTTTAACCGTTTCCAGTCATCTGGCTGACAGGAAAAACCTTTTTTTTTACTAACGAGAGTATTAAAAGTCAATGTAAAAGATGGCAGACTCCGAGCGAATGGATTAGCATATCTGAGTTGTATTTGTGAGATATTTTGGCGTGATTTTTAGCTCAAGAATTTGTTTTTGTTTTTCTGTTAAGCGGTCCATCCACGAACGAGTCTGACTCGCGAGTCTGGCATCTTTTTTTTTTAATGTTATTTATTCGTAAGATTTAAAATGACGTAGAACAATTCAATATTTACTTTGTAATTTAATTATACTTGCTAATGAAGAGTTATAACATAGTACATATAAATTTGTTTGGTAATGATCCTAGAATGTAAAAAATATCTACAAATTTTATATCAAAATTTTCTTTGCAAAGATGACAGTGATACAAACATTTTAGAGCACGACGAGCAGATTACGTAATCACTTGTTGTTACTGCGTAAGTCTCCGCATTGTCAGAGCCATCTATGGAATAGCAATTAAATTAGATGAAACTTAAAAAATTTGCATTAAGTTGTGTTGTATGTATTTGGGATGGTTGTATATTAGTTTTTATATTAGCTCATACTTACGTAATTCTTTCTCTTTAATTTTTCATACGATTCAGATCCAAACAAAGTATCGGCACGGTCTCTAATGGATTTGGTTTGTCAAATCATGGAACGTGCTGTTTCTAGCGTTTGCTTTGCCCTTCCTGCCGCAAAGCTATGTATAACAATAATTGAGGTAAGAAAAAAGTAATTTATTACGTGATTCTTTACTTCATACTTGTCTGTGTGGATTGAAGGTTATGTTCGTCGCGTATGTCACTGGGGTATTTTTAAGATAAGTTATATAACTAAAGTATCGTCATTATCCTCCATTTGAACATTCAGTTTACTTGTGGCAGCAAATTTTGGTTATAAATACATATTCTGTCATTAAAATTATAAATAATTATGAGGAGACATATCGGCATGTTGATCAGTCATAATAATTCAGCGTTATATAAAGTGACTATTATCGATGTATGTATTTAACTTTTTTTTGCAGAAGGAGACAAAGGAGACGTTTTTAGAGTCATTACTCAATTTAAGTCAGCAATGGTACCAAGACAGGGATCGTGTTTTAAAAAATGGTCCAAGTTCTGGTGCCTCTCCGAGTCCGCGTTTCTGTGCCTTTATGCAGTTTCTGAATGAGATGTATTGCGAGGTATTTATTTATCTAGTTCACGATATAAATTTACTGATTATCTAAGCAAAATTCTGTAAGATTTACTCAGTACCGACGTAGAACCAACTCAATTAAAATGCAGTAACTCTAATTTATTTCATTATACCTTTATACTGTTTGGCAAATGTTTTATGTAAAATTAGTACAAACATCACGTTTTTTTGAAACTTCCGTTACGTTTCCGTTTTGGCAGTCAGTAATTATTCACCGTGTTTTACAGTTGAAACGACGCCAATTACAGCTGAAGACGCAGTATGATGGAGTACCACCTGGATTAGTTTTACTTACGCTTGTGTTCAAGTGTTGCCTGGACTGTCTAAAGCCACCAAATTCACAAGGAGAGGTACGATTTAATTCTCAAAATAATTTAAAATTAACAATAAAATTCCATATTGAGATATGCGATAACCACGGCGTGTATATCCTTTCACAGACTGACAGCCTCTTCTTTGTGCTGACATCTATCGGACGGGATTTGGAAAATGAACTGCCAGGTCAGATTCCTTTATTACTGGCAAGTGTACGTGATGCGTTCCTTAAAACTGCTGCCATGCCGATGATAAAGAAGACGCTTCTTCAGCTAATTGAACTGCATGCCTCCAGATGGCAGCTGCCTGCTCCAGCAGTTATGTACTACACTACTCACTAGTTAAAGAATTCAACATGTCGCATAATTGTAAGTGACTGAACTATTTATAACTCTTGAGGTGAACAGTTTGAGGTTAGGTTGATCAAATTAAGAACGATGAGATGGGTGGTATGGGATATATGAGAAATGCATATGAACTTTTAGTTACTAACGATCTGAAACTTTTACGATGACTAAGTGTAATAAATTCTTCCCGGGCTACCGCCTTACACGACTGGTAGATCGAGAAGAATTGGTTCATTTGGTTACCATTTGTAAGACCTAGGTGTAGATGGGTGAATAATATTAAAAAAAATAGTATGAGAAGGGGTGGGCTGGTTTAATTTGAAAATGTATATAAAGAACCAACAGTGTTTGCCCATCACATTCCTTGATAATGGAAGCAGAAAAGGTATACGAAACATTGAAATTCTGCTCCAAATTGACATAAGATTTTATCACCTGCAGAAATAAATCATTTGAAAAAAGATGAAATGTTGTCACAGTGAAATGGAATTATTTTATTTATTTTTCAGTTTTTCTGATGATGGATATGTTGACCACGGTCGGTGCAGTACATCACCATGTCGGCTGAAATATTTAATCTGAGTAAACAGTAGCATCGTCCACATTTCTAGAGAGAAATGATTCTTTTTGGGTATATGTGCGTAAAAATTGAAAAGTCGCTGAAAAAAATTATATATATTTAACATTTATAATGAACTGAGAAAAAAATAAAAGTTTGTGAAGTACATATTTCATTTCTATCATTCTATGGATTTTAAATATTTTGTTGATATTGTCAAATTATTTTATAATATTATACTGAAATTTTTGTGTTTTATAAACTGTGTTAGGGCAGTGTTTATGAGAGTATGATATTTGGGACCCTGCTGGTCTGCGAGAGGCTTCAGTAGGTTTTTTTTTAGAAAACCCACTAAGTAAGTTTTTAATTTACTGCGCGTCAACATGGCGACCGCTCCTGTACTAGATAATAGATAGCTTTAATCTTGTTCAAAGCAGAACAGAAAGAAAATCCCAAAGCATGTTACCTGATGTGTTATTTTAATTGTGTTACAAGTGTACCAGTAGAATTAGGTTGCATAATTTATCATTTTTTAACATTCTACAGAAATTTTCTGGGTAAGAGGTTTTCCTTGGTCGTGCAGTTGTGTGTGTGGTTACGCCAGCATTTTTGATAGACGGAAGTGTCTCGTGGTCAAAAACTTCATCTGTGTCAGTTAAACGGTGTATTTTTTAGTGTATTTGATCAAAATTTGTGACTCATATAAAAGGCACCATGTTCTACAGGGGTATGGTATTGGGACCCACAAATTGTACTACTGGACGATATAAATGCCCCCTTCACGTTAATTAAAGGACAAAATTCTTGTAAATAATAATTAAAAATGCAATATTTGCTTCTAAGAAAACATACATCACTAGTATAAATGTAACTATTTTAATTCTCTGTAGGAGAATTTTTGCCCTTTTTACTTCTGTTAAAATAATTAATTTACGTAACAGGATTTATAAGGCCATCTTGTTTTAAAACCTGCTTTTTAAAAGTATCCTAACATGGGTATTAATTCTTCATGTTCATTTTGCTAATTGGCAAATATAGTTTTTATTTTTACGATGCTCTGTTTTCTTATTCAGGCAGGTGTTGTTATGCTCCCCCCCCCCCTTTTCACAAAAATATTTTTTTTCTTTGAGGTTACATCCGTAACATCGTGTCAGTTGTATTTTGTATTCCTGAACCTATATTTTGTAAAGATATGAAATGTACATTAAATTAATATAATTATCAGATAGACTCTCATATATTATTTGTACATGTGCTGAAAGTAAATCAAATTTATTTATGCTAAAACATTAACAGTACATAAAAATTTACGTGTATGTTATATTTATTAATTATCAAAGCAGGGATTTGACACACAATCCCTGGTTTCTCAGACTTTTAAGTATGGAGTTCTGTCAACATAATGACTGTAATTATGCCGTGTTTGTGTGGGTATTCTAATTTTGTGATTTTTCCGCCTCCTGTGCGCTTAAATGATTATCCTAGATTCAGATGTGAGAGAGTAGATTGAAGTGGTTTAAAGTTATGATAAGAACTCTGGGTGAAGAATTTTTAGTATTTTGTATGTGGAAAGACAATTCAAAATTTTTTTTTATATTCTGATGGAATTGCTTATTTGTTTTCTATTTATGCTGAATGCCTTTGTAACTAAGTTTCTACATTTGAATGGGCTACAGTGTACAAATGTTCTAACCATTGGATTCTTAGAATTTAATTCAGGAAATTTGATGGATTGAGATTATTAAGACTGGTTTGTGCCATAATGGTTGTATGTGGGGTCATGCCAAGTATTAGAAATAATATTTCTTTTCCTTAATCTGAAGTTGTATGCGTGATTTTTAATTTCTTAATTTAGTATGTTGCAAAATAGCTATCCCAACGTCATTGAAACTTATTCACTCGTCTGTAAATTTGTTCATTCCTGAAAATTCTGTGGTGTTTTTAGAGTGCCTTTTCATTACGAAAATAATTCTCTTATTTACGAAAAAGTGTTATGAAAAATGTTGTTGCATGTGCAAAATTTGTATAACTGATTTTATACAAGATACATCTAGTCTCTAGCATAACATATTGAATATAAATATTTAAAAGTTAATAATTACGTTATGTAAAGTTATTGGGTCTGTGTAACTTAAAACACACTTTAATTTTTTATACCTCAAAGCTGGAATCTTTCTACGAATCACAACCATTTATAAGTACCGAAATTAAAATGTGTATGTATTTATGTGAAAAGTAAGAATTAACATTGTATACAGATATGGGATAAATTAAAGCATTTCAGTGCAGAATAATTATAATTGGATAACATTAAGTGAAATAAAAATGATTTTTAACATTTTTAATTATTATTGTCTGTAGACATTGGTCTGTACAAAATTTTAGAAAGTAATTTTTGGATGAAATATAAATCATAAATTAATGTGATTTACACAAAACACTTATGTGCAGTCTCAAGTCACAGTCGTGTTTAATCTGTCTCTCTTTAATTACCTTAAACTTCTAAAGTGAACTTAAACTGAATTTACAACTCGCTGAAAAGAGTAATCTAAGCGATTGACTTTGACACTTGTGTGTAACAGGTCAGCTTTTGACACATAATACGAATACATTCAAGAGAATCGACGAAGATAAGTTACAAGTGTAGGTAGATATCAGTCGTGAAGATGGGGGCAGTATGCTATTTTTAAATAATCGTACCTACAAATCCACATGGCATTACAAATGAGAAGACCAACATGAACATTTTTATACCTTCTGTTTCTAGGATAGTACCTTAGGCTAGAATATCCATACCAGTTCATTATTAATTTTTCCATCTTATCATTTGACGCTATATAGTCTGAGCTGCTGACATTGTTATAACCCATTCAGACACCTTTATTATGCTGGTTAAATAGTCACCCTTCTTACCGAGCAAGGTACCGTTACCACAATATCTCACCGTGGCAGCACCAGAGCAGCGTACGGAAGACAGAGCGTTCATAGTAACACATGTCATGTAAACGGTGATAGTCACAGATGAATCTTGTAGACCACAGAATAGAACAAGTGACTAACACGATTGCGAACTATAGAAGCCAATGCTTGTAATTACCATTTAAGGCGGTAAAATATTACAATTCTGTAGAATATTGAGTTAAACTCATGGCAAAACATCATCCAGATCTAATTTTCTGCAGGAAACAACCAGGTGTAGGTATGTATAACATTATTTTTTTTAGGCTAAGGATGTCTTTTGTAATGTAAAATTACATTGGCATGGAAAGTGTATTGTATACCATTTATTTACTGTTATTTTCTTCTGTTTTAGCTATTGGACGATTGTGTGAGAAATGTGATGGGAAATGTGTTATATGTGATTCGTATGTGCGACCTTGCACATTAGTGAGGATTTGTGATGAGTGTAACTATGGGTCTTACCAAGGACGGTGTGTGATCTGTGGAGGACCTGGTGTATCGGATGCATACTATTGTAAAGAGTGTACCATACAGGAGAAAGATGTAAGATGAATTACTGTAGCTCACCACTTTTAATATTTGTCAAATCAATTGAATCAGGGTGCCCCTGTAATAATATAGGTTAGGTTTAAACAATTCCAGCACAAGAAAAATCTTTTGTGGGTTTCTCCTAGGGCAGACAAACGAATGTGACAGATAAGTTGATGAATGTGCATGTGATTACCCAGTCATTCCACATTCCGTTGATGTGTTTTGATCTTATGCGTATGCTTTTTTCTGCTTTGGTTTGATTTGTGATAAACTGCCCTCGAATAGCGTGTATTAATGGGTCTTATACTAGTAACCTTCACTTTCACATGTAAATTAAGTGTTTTATTGTTGGTATTAAGTGGAATCTTGATTCAATGCTTTTTATTGCTACTATTTATCACAGTATTTTTGGCTGAAAGTGGGTACATTTTAGAAGTATTTGAAAATATTGAAGGCATCTTGATTTCCCAAAACTTTCTTACAACTAAGAGGTGAACGAAAGCTTTAATAAACTTGATTCAGATAAATATCCTGTCCACATAATGTTTAAGTGACATTCATAAACAATAAAGCCTGAGTGCATGTAAAGTAATTTTGATTAGAAATATCAAAATAGGAAATTGTACTAAGATGTAAATTTTGAGAATGCATGTAAAGTAATTTTGATCAGAAATATCAAAACAGGAAATTGTACTAAGATGTAAATTTTGATCTTTATGACAAATAATAATTTATTTAATTAAAAATAATTTTACACTGTGCTGAATTCTTAAAATTAAAACTGCCTGAAGTATAATTAATGGTAGCGTATTTGTTCCTTGATTTATCGGCGTACCTATTTCGTAACATTCATATTATTTCGTCTCTTTCAGCGTGATGGGTGCCCGAAGATCGTGAACTTGGGTAGCTCTAAAACTGATCTCTTCTATGAACGGAAAAAGTACGGCTTCAAGCGGAGGTGAAGGGGCCAGTGAACATCTGACTGCTGTACGTTTCACCGGGAAGTAACTCGGTTCCATAAAAGCGTTCTGTCTGTATTAAATTTAAAGATGACTGTCGTCTGTGTTTTTGTGCCATGTAATCTGATAATAAGTTTACCAACATTTCAGATGTACTTGCTGCCTCCGTCATCAGGGCGATACATCTGAAATTTCAGTAAATATCTACCAGACTACGCAGTGCAACGATACAGAAGATGGTCATCTTCGTACTTGCCACTGCGGGAACCTGAAATATAATTTGGATTTAATTTGAATCATATTTTAATGAAAATAATAGCAGTATCATTCAATTTTATTGTAATCTATTGGTGTATTGTATAGTATTTATGATGTAAAAGTAAATACTTTTATACATAGATATTCTGTACATTTATGTATGTGACACGCATAAAATTAAATTTCTATACCTTAGAGATTTTCAGAAATGAAGAGAACCTTTGTAATTGGGACAAATTAAGGTTCTTGTTACCATGTTAACGAGAGCTCGCGACCGGTCCCTGTCCTGATCCACATGAACCCAGCCACACCCTATTTCCTAAAGATCCATTTTAGTATTATTCTCCCATTTGTGCTTGTCCTCCAAGTGGTGTCTCACTGTCAGGGTTATTAACCAAATTTTTTTTTTACACATTTCTCATCTCCCCCTTGCCAATACTACCCTCCTTGATCTGATCATCATAATATTTGGTGAAGAGTATATATCAATTAATGAAGCTCCTCCTACAATTTTTCTTCCAACTATCTGTCTCCAAGGCAGCTGTTCTGAAGCACCCTCATTCTAGCAATAGGCATACAAACAAAAGGAAAAGAGTAGAATCTATTCAACTCTGCCCTTCAGGCGTAATTTTCGGCCACGAACTTCTCGTTGAATAACGTGTAGTAGTCATCCTTAAGTAGGATAGAATAAATTTGTGATGAACTGCAAGGACAGGAATCTGAGGGCGGTCAAATAAGGAATGGCCATGAAACATCAGCTGCCATCAGTGAATTTAAGGAGCTGGTTTCACGTGTGACGTCATCACGACTACATTCCTCTATACGAAAAATGTAGTGCGTTGTTTTGAAGTTTCACAGGAGCTGTAAAAATATAGAATGGTAATTGTGGTAACAAAAAAGTACAAATTAATGATCCTACAAATCGTCCAGAACCATACTTTGTAAATGTAATTCAGATTATATACTTTTTCTGGGGAAAAATCTTTACGCGATTCGTTTGCAACGCACTCTAGTTGGCATATATTAAACCATTTAGTCTTCCGCCGAGTTGCTTATGGTCTGGTGGTGTATTTTGCTTTTAGTGGTAAATATACAATACATCGACGTTCGAAGTCTTAAATTTAGTGGATATAAGTGGTCTTAAAAATGGTACAGAAGTACCAGTCCCCGGTAAGGGTGTACAAGTACCCGTTCGAGTTGGTAATGACTGTAAGTATTCTATTAATTTGATAAATACAAGCTTACTGTACAGTGTCAATGAATCCATTATGCTTCACAGCTGTTATAAATTAACGATCCGGTTACAAATGTTCAGCAGCACGTATTTTATAAGATGTATTTATGTTATGCTAATGTAAACTGTGTGATGATTACGAAAATTGTTATTCTCCATGTAAACCCCCCCCCCCAAAAAAAAAAATATATATATACGAGGGTGACAAGAAATGGATCGTACTGGAATTGTCTGAGGAGAGACACATCTGTCGGGAAACATCTACAGACTTTGGCGTTCCCGTTAATTTTTTCATGAATATCCAGTTGTAATGTAAAATCGACTTCCGCTGACTTCTCAGGACATAAAATCCTCGTTTTCTCTAGTGCAACCGAAATTAACCAGATCCTTAGAAAGTTATAATGACACACTATAATCACTTTATCTACCCTTTTGTTCCGTGAAACTTTTTAATGACGTGATCGTGTACTTAATCCTGTTTAGCACTCACTCATTTGATTTAATATGCCACCAAAAAGTAGTGTTTTTATTTATGCATGCTAGATTCAGGAAAAGAAACCTAGTAACGTCAACTGAACATTATTCACCCTGCCTTAAAATTCGGCTTCGTTTGATAAATGTTCAGATATGAGAAAAAAAAGTTTAAATTTCGCATCAAAATATCGCTCAATCAAAAGCGGCGTAAATGACTGGCCACCGTATTAAAATATATAATTTTTACGTAACGTCTATTCATTCAGTTTGTGCTTTAATCTTTGACCTCCTTGTTATTTCGTCCGCTTTCTTTATTTTTATGCAAATAGACCGTGACAAAGTTTAGTGTACTCCATTCTTAGCCAGCGTGAAAAATTTGGATAGGAAAACTCCGTTTAATTTTTTCAATGATATGTCGTTGTTAAGTAACACTTGATAACGGTTCTTTTCTGGTATATTGACCGACGTTTCAAAGGAATTTGCTGCCTCCATCATCAGGGCGATGATCTGTACTCAATCGAATTAACCATGGACAATTTATAAAAGCGGATCAGGAATCCCTTTTTAAAGGAGCTGTAGTTGTAATGCACGTTTCCAGCTAGTGTATTTTCAAACAAAAGATAAAAGACCCGTTAGCAGTAACGGGTGTTTTCATTGTCGTCCGCTCGCAGATATTTACGAGGTCTTAATTATACGTATCATAAATAGTAAAGTGCGCTGGATTACTTTGAACAATCTCCTTACGTAGGATAACCGACTGTAAATCATATTCACCAACATTATCGATTATTTGGTCGATGTTTTTCGATCCTCTCGTGAGTTTTCCAGAGGTCGATGTTTTTCGATCATCTCGTGAGTTTTCCAAAGGTCGATGTTTTTCGATCCTCTCGTGAGTTTTCCAAAGGTCGATGTTTTTCGATCCCCTCGTGAGTTTTCCAAAAGTGTCTCTTTCTTCCTTCTGTCATTACAATTTGTACACATCTCAGTAGCAATCTGACCTGATGATCCTTGGATAATCTTGAATTTTTGTTTGCTTGAAAGTTTTTTTTCATACTATCCACGTAACCTTTTACCCAGAGGTCATACGTGTTCCATAAATCACCAACAGTGGTCTTCACGGCGGTGAGGAAGATGATGCTATTCTTCATGGTTTTGACGCTGAGCTCGAACAAAGACACTTTTTTTTTTAAAGTTATTCGACGTTTCGACAAACATTGCGTTTGCCATCTTCAGGGTGAATATGTTAGTTGGGTGTTTCTTGGAAGCCTGGGATTCACAACTATTTCTTATTGACCCGCGGGCCGCAGGGTTATGAAAAAAAGCGATAATTTATTCGAATTCACGACAGTTGTTTCAAAATAATTCTTACGTACTGCTTCAAACAGGTTCGCACATTACTATGTAATTGTCTTTAACAAAATAATTCATTAGTGTGGCATCTGGCATTTATTTGGCTTTAAAATCTTTCTCAGTGATAAAATGTTATTCAAAATATACCAGGGTCTTACAAAACACGTCTGAGGGCCACATGCGGACTGCGGGTTACCGGTTATATTAAACCCTAGTAGTAATAGCGTTAACCAGTTGATCGTTGCCATGGAGACGTTTGAATAGTCTACATTTGCTCCAATTACATTATAGAGCAGAAGTTAGGAATCTCAAAAGTCGTACCTTTACTCCCCTGTAGATGTCCTTTGGGTGTAACTGAAGCGTAGAAACAGCTTTGTTGCTCGCTCTGGTAATGCAGACACTTTCACGTATAAGTTTAGTCAGCTTCTGAACCTGACTTTTTAACAAATAAAGTTAATGCCAATTTAGATTTGAATACACGAAGGGGAAATGAAAAACTTCATGCAGAAATTGGCAGTTTATAAGATTTTACCATGTCAAGTTATACACGGCTTCATGAAATATAACCTCAAAATTAACACGCTTGCTTCATATCTTGCATAGCTAACAGGGGCATTTATTCGACTCTTAGCGTCTCATCTACAGACCACATTGAAAATATCCTTGAGCGTGTCTTGCTCTATTGAATAATGCGGAAAAATGAATTTAAAAATTGTTTTCTTTCAGTCGAGATTTGAATTTACAATTAGTGCTGTGACGCAGGATACACTTTACAATAACTGTTCTTAGAAACCCTTTTATGTGTTGAAAAATACCAACACGACGGCAGAAACGAATTTGTTTTGCCATAGAAACGTAAACACACCGGCGAGACAAGTAAGTTTTGGGGTTTCTTCGGCCGCAATGCGATTGGCTGGTCTCCGTTCCAAATTTTGAACCCATGTCCTGCCGAATACAAAGTCCATTTCACTTTATTTGATCGACCTCATAACACTTCGTGGAAAAGTACAAATTATAAAGTTTCATTATGTAACTTTTCCAGTCTTGTGTTAAATTTCCCTCTCTTAAGTTGGGGAATTTAACAATACAACAATGGACACGTTTATATCTTATTAATGTTGGCAACAATGATCTATTCTGTTTTTCACTGTACTGAGAATATCTGAATGTTAATGTGGTACTACCGGAATTTTATTATCCGTTTGGAAGGCCTGACTCGTATGAACTACACACGACAAACGGTCTGAATGAAACGTTACAGTAATAGTTCGCAAATGTTTTTATTGTCATGCGTTTTGAGGCTCAGTTTGGGAGACATCTTTTACATGGTGAAGCTCCGTCTTGTTGATTTGCACGACGAATTTCCACTCAAGCAGTGTAGGACGCCGTAGTTCATTAATTGAGGCCAAGGTTATCAGTAAACCTAGGCTATACTTAACAGAGTTGACAGCCAGCCTGTATCCACGCTGCCAGTTTTTTGTAGTTCAAAAAAGAAACTCTTCCCTTTTTACATTGAACTAAATACAACCGATATTATTGTCATTGTTGAGCACGAAGAGATAACATCCGCTGTATGAGATAAATATCAAAATTCAACAACATTGTTTTGCTTTCTTTAATGTAATATGCAGGACGAGTATTGTAATAAAAATATGTGGTTTGAAAGGTAAACATTGCCGTATTTCGTGCTCTCTGCCCCGGAAGAAAGCCTCTGTCCCATGGAGTTGCTGGGGGGCTCTTAAGATAAATTTCTTTTCACTTTGTTAAGGAATATACGTTGTGAAAAGCGATGTGTTAAATGGTACGTGTAACACTGTATTTACCAGTTAAGTAGCGGAAGTATCTGCTCTGTTATCACAAACACTTTGAGGCAAGTTTACGTCATTTGTAGATAATTTACTATTAACATTCTTGCAGTCATTTGAGTTCATATATAAAGACATTTTAAGATAAACACGTGACGCGAAGAATTGGGATCGTTAAAATGTCTGTTTGTACGGTTGGTATAGTAGAGGTCTCTTGTACCTACAGGATCCGTTTCGATACCCGTTTTTACTAGTAAATGAAAATGTGAGACAGATTTATTCGGGAATCATTAGGCCACGTCAGGAAATTTGAAATATCTGGATCTGGGTTTTCGTGGCTGTGGATAGTGATGTCAAAAACGTCGTAACTGCCTACTTGCAAATTCTTTCTTAACGTTCGTGGTCATCTTTCCTTTAGGAGGTAAGAAATGTGTACAAAATTTTAGTGGGAAAATGAAATACACATTACTAAGAGGCGTCTTTGGACACCAAAGTACAGGTAGAGGGATAATATTAAAATGGAACTTAAATGATATGTGGATATATGGGCTGGATCCATTTGGCGATGGGTAGGAACGTGATGAAGTCTTGTGAACACAGTACAACATAAAACACTACACTTAACCATTACAAAGGTCAACTGGTTAACGCTGTTTAAGGAAATAATCGCTGTTTACACTGAGAATCGCACGAAACCCATACATACACTACGTAGGAATCTGAATAATATTTAAAGATTCAGTCCGTACCGCGAAGTAAACACTACACTTCACCATTACAAAGATCAACTGGTTAACGCTGTTTAAGGAGAAAATCGCTGTTTATAGCGAGAATCATACGAAACCCATGGATACTCTGAGTAGGCATCTAAATAATATTTAAAGATTCAGTCCGTACCGCGAAGTAAACACTACACTTCACCATTACAAAGATCAACTGGTAAAAAAAATTGCTAATCCATTCTTTTAAGCTGTCGTACAAATTTACGTAGATAATTTTAGTGAAAATAATACTTTAATAGCGAAGACTTCTGGAATGAATAAAAGTCCCATGTTACTGATTGTTAAAGCATGTGGTACATATAGTTACCACTGGGTTTTAAAGGGTTACTTTTGTACAAAAATATGCTAATCCATTCTTTTAAGCCATGGCTGTCGTACAAATTTATGTAGATAATTTTAGTGAAAAAAATATTTTAATAGCGAAGACTTCTGGAATGAATGTCTGATGAAATGTTTGGACGTTTTCAGAAATTTCTCATAAAACCGGTGCATGTGCTAAAATGTTAAACAGTAGATAACAGCCAAAGCACCAGAGTGGAACCAGTAATGAAAATTAGGCAGTTTCTTACAGTAACTGGCAATGTCTCTACCTCCTCAGTTTCTTTAATTTTCCAGCTGTGCCGTGACCTATTTCAAAACCACACCACTAACTTCTGGTGTGTTGGGTGGGGTAGCCTGTACTAGCAAGGTCACAAAAATCAATTGAATTTTAAACAGGTCACAAGAATTGAGACTATGTGTAGCATAAATTAAATATGGAGACAGACTTCGTGGGAAATTGCATCTGTATACTACTTTACCATGATATAATTCAAGGTCATATTAAGTCCGACATTAAAGACATATCACTAGTCATGATACCCTAATATTCTAATTAACTGAAGGTTGGTAACTGTTTAGATATATGGCTTCAAGGTTTATGTGTCATAAGATACTGTATTCGGGGCCAACATTTACATTTAAAGCATGTTTTATCTCACTGTAAAAACACCGACATCCATGTCATTTAGAATTATATTCATTGTTGATACCCATTCTAGTCCTTAGTTTCATACGACGTGAACTCTGCATGCAACTTCAGGTTTTGGGGATGAGTTATGTTGAATGTTGAAAATTATCCGTTTCGGCAAACATTAATGTTTCTATCTTCAATGCATGGGCATTTTTTTGGGAACCGTATAGGGCGGACATTGGGTGGCTTATCGCGTTTGATGACGCTGATTGGTGGTGTGGAAGCGCAGGGTACTACTATCCATCGAGTGACGAGCACGTGATTCAGGAAAAGAGTTGATGTAGAATGTTTTAAGAGACATGTGGTGAGGAGAGGTTACGAGAAAAGAAGTTTAAGTTGTATATTAATGCTTATTACTGATACATGGTTGTTCCTTTGTCTTTCATGCTTATATAATGTTCAGTGAAACAGAAGTAGAGTTTTAATTTGTTCGCACAGTTCTGTGGATGTATTATGTGGCAGCATGACTGGGATAAAAAATATGTTTTTGCTTTCTTTTTGAGGTATGTACAATTATCTCGCAGACCAATGTGCACATTTGATCACTGGTTAAGAACCCATACTTTAGTGCGGTAAATGCTGATGTGATTGTATAGTGTTTAATGTTTCTACTTGATTTAAACGAGATTACTAACATTACAACCATAAGCATACAGTCTTCCAAGGACAACAGTTGTTTTGTATGCAGTAAGCTACATGGATTTTTCCATTCATCTGGTTGGAAAGTACAGTACTCATTAAAATGTAATGAAACTTTTATTTATCATTATAACAGCCATGTAAGTGAATGCTCAAATTATTTTTGGAAAATATATTTAAAACTCAAGAGTAACTGTGAATGAGTAAGTTACAGTGCATATTGTTAATTTAAATTTTGAAATATGTTTTATTTATTAGAAATGACAATAGCATTAATTTAATCCAGTTATAAGCCTTGTTGCTCTATAGCTTCATATGTTAATATTTTCATATATTAACTTTTAAATGAGCATATTCTGCATTTCTTAGGTGTGTTCCTTTTCCAAAGCATGCCACATATTAATTTGTAAATTTTTGTGTCATTTTTATTCCTTTTGTAATTTGTTTCTGAACACTTTTGGTTGTCCTTTTGTGCCCAGCATGTGTGTTCTTTGTCTCGGTCATAATATAAGGTCGACCAATTTGGTTCAAAGAAATACCTATTCTAGAACACAGACAACTGTTGTCCAGACATATTTTGTCATCAGTTTTTTTTTAATGTAATATAAAGCAGAATTTTTGATGATTTTCTCCTGACATCATTCTTCACAAAACTCAAGGTTCAACTTGCATTTACCTTGTGGCAGATTAATCACAGGTGTAAGAATAGAAGATGATAAATTAAAAGGAGAACAAAGGAAATGTTGCCAATTAAGATGTTGATTAATCAACTTCAAACATTGGATCAGTTACAAATACTGCAATTTATATTTTAATCTTACATAATTTATGTTCTCTGCATGTCTGTGCATCCAAAGTCACTTGAAAGTTTCTTGCTCGTGTGTTACGTCATCTGTACTGACATGCCAATAAAAGCAGATCAATGGAATGAACATCAGTTGGCGTTGTTCAGTATTCATTATTTACAAATGTCAAGGTTGAGGAATGTTAAAAAAACACTACTTCACTAACATAAACAGTCGTAACTAAGGTATTTAGTTCTAGAAATATATTTTTTCAGGGATGAACAGCATGATTTAAGTTTATGATTCTTGGAAGACGTTAAGTAAAATATCATGGTTTTCTTAATTATGTACTTCATAGGTTTTTTCAAAATAACGAAACTGAAAGAATTTTTCCACTCAGTGATGTGCGTGAATTGGATTGGCCACGTGTGACCTGGACAGAACTGAATTATGTAAATAATTAGTTGGTTTAGGTGATAATGATAAGGTATGATTCAATTATTATGGATGTGACAATTACGTGCGCGCCAACAGCTGTGAAACAGACCTAACCTTGAAATATCCGCATTTAGGGTGAGGAGGAAAATTCACCTGCATACCAAACAGATACTTAGAGGACCCAGCAAACCTGAAAGTATCGACAGAACGAGACCGAAAGACTTGCAGAAAACCTGCCTGGGGTGTGAACCCAAGCCTCTGGACCCTATCCTGATTTGCATGACTCCTGCCCACACTCTTCCAATATATTATTTAAGATCTATTTTAATATTGTTTTCCCATCTGGGGCTAAGTCTGTTCTCTTCGGGCTTTTAAATTAAAATTTTGTATGTGTGTCTGGCCGCTACTGGCCACATTATGTGGTTAGAGTAGATGACTTACAGATATGTAGGGTCGCTATGAATGAACAAACATTTTCAGACAGCGGACAAGGGGTGGTCCTTCTGTACACAGAACCTCACATATTAAATGAAACTTAGAAAATGTTATTTACTGTCAACTGTTGTGTGACATATTACAATAAAAATATCCAAAAATGTTAATTTTTGTATCCTAACTAGATATCTTGGTTGTAGGCATATGAACGTCGGTTCCCAACGTGTCCACAGATCCCTGTGTTTATAGGCTGTGAAATATTATCAGATTCAACGAGCACAGATGGAACTCAGAGAGTAACTGAACGTCGTTGCAAGCTCAATGTGGAAGCACCGTATTTATTAAAGAAGGTAAAGTAACGTATAAGAAGGGAAGACGCGTTTATAAAATTCCCCCTTCCCCTGTCATCTTTATTGTTACATAAATGTTGTATCAATTTATTTTTTCCTGTGTACAATCTGTTGTTAAATGTTATCATTTATGTAGCGCGTGATCAAAGGTGTTGTTATTTCATGCAAGGTATGAAATATGTTTTATTTGCTTTTGTTGCAGATAATAGGTGTTGATTTTGTTTACTTCATTCAGAAGAATATGTTAGACCTCAGAAATCGAACCCTTAACATCGAAGCTCGTAACGAAAGCTTTTCTACCCGTGTCGCGGTTATTGAGAGATGCAGATATTTTGTAAGTTGAGATACTGCATTTTTAAATTGTACTAACAGTATTTACATTTGAAGATTTCTGTCTTCTGGGTTGTTGCGCTGTGTAGACTGGTCGAGGTTAACATCGACCAGACTACACGGCGCAACAACCCAGAAGACAGAAATCTTCATACTCACCGCTGTGAAAACCTCAAATCTTGCACAGTATTTACATTTAATAATTAATTAATCAAAATATGAATTATGTGGTTACCCATGTAACAACATTTTTGTTGAGAACTGCTGAACGGATTTTGACGATGTTTGGAATGGGTGTTGTGCATTAAATTCATACTTTAGATTGGCGATAACAAAGTGAGAGATGAAGAAAATTTTTAGGTAGACTGCCCCTAGGCAATTGAGATCCGCACTGTGGTGGTCAAAGTCAGAGGTATCAAATTTTGGATTTGTTTCTTTACAGTGATGATCAGACTTTTAAACTTCATTGATTTATGCCGGTGATGTGCTAAAATTCACAAAACTTGGTATCAAATTAACAATGTTGGGTGCTGATAGCGGACAGTTTGGATTTTTGTGATAATATACCGTGTGACAAAACCACGTGCCAAATATCACACTTCTTTATCTTAATTATGACATATTTATTGTTTTATTTATTAAATATGTATCAACTTATTTGAGGTATTCTGTAATTCGTAATGTTCATGACTGAATAATGAAACTCCGTCTTACTTTAATTCTTTCTCCTTCTTCCTCGTCTCATCTGCCACTCTTTACGTACACTTGAAGTAAAAGAGTGGGGTACTACAAAAAATAAGTGTGTAATTGTCCTTTTTTTCTTCAGGTTCACCCAGAAAAATCTGACTGGACATGTTTCGAACAGTCGGCCAGTCTTGACATCAGGTCTTTCTTTGGATTTGAGAATTCCATGGAAAAGTTAGCTATGAAACAGTATTCACAAAATATTGCTAAAGTATGTTAATAAATAATATATTATTTAAGGGTGCCCCTTAGAGATCAAATTAGCCTACAAATTAACCGTGAATGTTCTTCACTCTTAAATTTTGTGTCTTCTGTGGGATCAAATTAGCGTACAAATTAACCGTGAATGTTTTTCACTCTTAAATTTTGTGTCTTCTGTGCTACGTCTTACAGACTCTTGGTATATTCAGTATGATTTTTCGCAAACTACTACTATGTATATCCTGGAACTTTACAGCGGAGAAAATTTCTGTGTGTAGTCGTATTACTTCAAAATATTGGCATTTTCATGAATAGTTTTACGTAAAACGAGGGAAGATTTATTTCCTGTTCTTATGTCTCTAAACACTATTATTGTGAAAGATATATATGAGAATTTTATAAGTAAGCAATTTCATTATATTAATACAATTTATTTTAAGAAAAAGGTGGACAAAGGATGGGTACTTTAAGTGGTTTGTTAGGTACTTGTGGGTTATCGGGACACATCACTTTAAAAATAGGTTAGGTTAGTTGTCATTTATTGAAATAAAATATAATAACTTTCAAGTATATGTCATTTATCCACACACATTAACCTAACCTAACCTAACCAAACCTAACCTAAACCTAACCTAACCTATTTTTAAAGCGATGTGTCCCGATAATCCACAAGTACCGTTTGTTATAAAGGGACTTATATTTTTTCATGTGAATTAATATTTTTCTGAATGAATGAATTATTTAAAAATGAAAGTTATTTTATTTGTGTAATTTTCCTAATAACTCATAAATATATTTGTTACTTCCGTCCCTTGTAGATGTTATTGCTGAGACATGCCATGTGATGTTTTCAGGGTAAAGAAATTATCGAACACTTTGTTAATGAATTGAAGAACGAAGGCGTAACATATGTACCGCCGTGGTCTGAGCCCAGTGAGGCAATTCCAAATGATGATAATGATGATCTGAGGTATTGTATTACAGTAATTTACACAACTGAGAACATTTATTGTAGTTTTAATTATGTTTAAGACGAAACATTTTACGCAGACTGTGTGTATTACGTTGGAATCTCAGAGAAAGGGTATGAGAAATGAAAAATTTAATAATGCGATGGGTCCTTAACTGATAATATGAATCTAAGAAATGAAAAATTTAATAATGCGATATACAAAAGTAGAAATAAACATGGGTCCTTAACTGATAATATGAATCTGAAACTAGCATATTGTCAGATAGCGGTTCATATCATGGTTAGTCTACGCGGTGTCACAGCCCCGAACCTCGACATCGTCATCTTCGCTACCACGAGAACCTCAAATCTTACAATTCATATCATATTCGAAGTACTTTATGTCCGACTGCTGTAAGTGGGCATTTAAAATGAGAGTTCTGTAATGCAAAGAAAGTTTTTGGTTTTTTGTTCTAAGCATGAAGGTTTGTATTTCGACTTGGTGGTCATTTTACTCGTCTCACAATATGCAATCTGCCTGGAAAATGAAGTAACTATATGAAGTTTCAGGTTCCTGGAATAATTTTTATACTTCGTTTGACTTAAATATCTAGAAAATAATTATAAAATAACAGAAATGGCATTGTCAAAATGAATAAAGATGATGGCATGTCCGTTAATATCGCGTTTACTGTCTTTAATCTGTTAAAATAAGTTTTCCGTTGTTTGTAGGGTACAGGGTGATATGAGTCAGAGTTCAGGAGAATTTCCTTTGGGGGCATCTGCTTCTGAGTACAGTGCCTCTGCTACAGCCAGCAAAACGACACCTCATCTGTCATCTGGTCGGTTTGCAGATCGGTTCGCCTTCATTTTAACTTTAACGCGCAAATTTTAATTTTTTTTTTTTTGCTTTGACTTCGAACGGGAATATTACGTCATGTCATTGAATAAATGTAGATTGGCCTTCTTCTGAAAATTAGTGGCGCGTTATTCATGGTTATTGACCTTTTACAGAATCTCAGTTCCAGTTAGACACCGATTACATTCAGCGTTATCTGGGTGAGCTGAGCCTTTTACAAGAGTCAAGACTAGTTCAGCTTCGAAAATGGGTGGCAGATCTTCAAAAGGGCAAGGTAAGTGAATCGAGGGTTTTCTTGGGAAAATTACAAGAGTCCAGAATTAAATATTTTTAGGAGATCAAAAAGAAAACCTTCCAGCATCTGAGCAATATAGGAATATAGTTATAGTCACATAAATATTTGTCTTTTATAGAAATAAGACAAAAGGAAATTAGTGAGAAGTACAAATCATATATGTCGCTCTCGGTGGACTAGTGGTTAGCGTGCTCGCCGCTGGACCAGAGGTTCGTGGGTTCAATCCCGGCCGGGGTCGATGGATTTTTAAGGGTGATAAAGAAGCCGGTGGTCCCATGTTGTAGATTTACGGCATGTAAAAGAACCTTACGAGCGTGATACGAGATGTGTAAGCAAACTTCCGCTGCGATTTCTCACCCAAGTCTCTCCTGATTCACTGCTAGATGGCTCTGGCAGTCAAATCAGGATTGAGTAGAAATTATGCAGAGTCAGTGGGCTGGTCACTCACTATTCATAAATGCACGCCTCAAGACCGAGAAATATCTGAAAAGCAAGCGACGAAAACCCACGACCGGGTTGTAGAACCAAGAAACAACAACAAATCATATATAGGGATCACCCTATTCAGATAGGTCAATCGAAAGAACTAAAGAAGCAATGTCTTGTGTCGTGTTCATCTGTTGCCAGGTTCCCAGTGATTCGACACTTCTTCGGTTCCTGAGGGCTAGAGATTTCAATGTGGAGAAGGCCAGAGAAATGCTGTCACTGTCACTGATGTGGCGTAAGAAACATCAGGTTGATAAGATTCTCTCTGAATATCAAACACCTCAGGTCGTTAAGGACTACTTTCCAGGCGGTTGGCACCACAGTGACAAAGGTGAAAATCAAGTACAGTAGTGTTTATCGCTGTAAGTGTCGTAACACTGCTTGAATGAGCGTCACTTCCCATTCAACTGAGTTATGATTGCTCGTTTAATCGCGCGCGTTCTCGGTCGTTTTCCCTTTACAAGTTATGTGGCACATTCGTGACTATTGCATGTGCATATGATGCAGGATCAGCAACTGTATTTTATTTATTTATTTATTTATTGACATGTTCAGTAATTTAAATTATATTGTGTCAAGTGACAGGATGATTTGTGAATAATTAATTGAAAAGGAAGTGGTCGTGACCTAATATAAGTTAATATTTTTTAATTTGCTTGGAGGGTACCAGAGAAATATCAGAAACCCTCAGAATATCCTGTCGCTGGGCTGAGATTTGAACCCGGAATCTTAGTATAAAGCAATAGCCGTAAGTACTTGACCACAACATCTGGTGGTAACTGTAGTGAACTGACCAGCGCAGACGAACCGTATTCTGTGTCTCGCGATTGGCCTTTTGCATCTATTTGATAAGTCACAACATCATATCTCATATTTAAATGCTTTCAGATGGACGACCATTGTACCTGTTGCGACTTGGTCAAATGGATGTCAAGGGATTGCTGAAAGCTATCGGGGAAGAGGGCCTTCTTCAGCTTGTGAGTCGTTTCTTGTAGCCTTTTATTTTGTTTGTTCAGTATCCAACCGGTTAATCATTTGGAGGACCTGGAGGTAATATTAAGATGGGTCTGTCAGAAGTGGGGTGTGAATTTGTCTGGTTTAATGACGTTCTCTTGTGAATATGGTAATGGATTTCAAGGTTCCATAAGAATTTGTTGATTTCTTGACAAGTTGAGAAACTATCAGTGTGTGTGCGTACATTAGAAGTAGCACTGATGATTATCGAGTCTTTGAACTTTTTAGCGGTATTGCTGTTGTCGAGATTTAATGTTGGTGTACATTCTTTAGACTCTGCATGTATGTGAAGAAGGCTTACAATTGATGGAAGAAGCTACGAGGACACAAGGAAAACCAATCTCAACATGGTCGCTTCTAGTTGATCTGGAAGGACTTAATATGAGGCATTTGTGGAGGCCCGGTATAAAGGTACGTGCAGATTTGTATACCACCGAAAACAGTTGAACGAACAACTTTTTATTGCGTAGAAGATGGTTTAAATCATCATGTTATATATATATGAAATCTCGTGTCACAGCCAAGCGATTATCCCTCCTGCTTTGTATTCATGAGGTCCTGGGTTCACATCATGGCCTGGATACTGGCTATCCTTAATGCAGTCTGTTTATAGTTTTTCTCAGTCCCTCCAGGTAGACGCCAGGATAGTACTTTCAATTAGGCCATGGTCACTTCCTTCCATATCCTTTCCAATTCATTAATCATCCTACAATTCTGTGCTGCTTACAGCATTTTAAACCATAAATAAGTAAAAAACAAAATTAAATTATAAATATATGTCTAATTCCTGCCGGAGTCCATTTTTATTGATTTTTGTCGCTGTCCGTGTGTTTCAGGCTTTGCTGAGGATAATTGAGATTGTAGAAGCCAATTATCCCGAGACAATGGGGAGAGTTCTCATTATTCGAGCTCCGAGAGTATTTCCTATCCTCTGGACATTAGTTGGCACATTCATCGGTTAGTATGATCACGATTTTATTTTCAGATGTATACATTATTCTGCGTAAGCCGGGATCTGATGGTCAGCAGTGAAGATATGAAGGTTACAGCAGCTTTTGGAGAAATTGGCACAAAAAAATTTCTTTAAAATGTTCGTATTATGTGTCAACCGTCCCGCGCCGTAGCCGCGCGGTCTGAGGCATCATGCGTCAGACCGGCGATACGGAAATGCGTGCTGGTTCGAGTCTCGAGGGAGAAGGAATTTTCTCATGAGATTTTCGACCAGTGTATGGGACCGGTGCCAACCCAGCATCGTGAAGAAATTGGGTAGCGTAATCCGGTCATGAAAACTAGCAATGGCTGGGGGTTCGTCGTGCTGACTACACGTCACCCTACATCTGGTTGGATGATCGTTCACCTCTGCTTAGGCATGTGAACGTGAGGCCAGCAGCCAAGCTAGTCGGCTTTGGCTCTCAGCAACTCCTGTGTTCTACAAATGTTCTAGATGAGAACACGCGTACCAAGTTCCTGTTCTATGGTGGCAATGATTACCAAGCAAGCGGCGGCCTAGTGGACTACATCCCGCAGGAATTTGTTCCGGATTTCTTGGGTGGATCATGCCAGGTTAGTATTTAGTTAAGTCGTGATTAGGTTTGTTTCTATTTTGATTATCTAAAAAATTGTTATATCCTACTTAGAAATTTAGATACATAAAAAACATTAAATTCAGAGCACATGTAATATTAGGGACTGTACTTGCAATTTTGCTTCCGAAACTGTTTACAGTTAACGTGTGTATGGTCCGTAGTGGAAGTGAGGTTGAAGTTTTGATGCCCAGAAGATAACTGTTTAACTGATAACGATATTATATAACTTTGGCTTTTGTAGATGAGCTAGAACAAATGTTGAAGGTTTTGCAGTGTTTTAATAAATAATGTATTTACCATCTTCATGGTTAATATTTTTGTAGGGTGGGAGGTTACAATCCTTTTATGTAGCTCTGTCTGATGTGACGTTGTCATGCCATTTAATAAATAACAGCCTGGTACGAGAACTTCATTGCTCAGCGCTGATAATACCAAAACCCATCACTGGACATTATCTGAAGGCACCTCCCAGCTTCATGACTTATTTCGGATCTATCTTAATGTTATCCTGTCTCGTTTATCACATATTACTCTTAACTAGTTGGTGACCTGTATCTTAACCACTGTCCATGTCTCTTCTTTGCCAACAGCAGCTCACAAGCTGTGGTTAACGTTCTCTTTCGCGTAGTAAAAAATATTTACTAGGAAGAAGAGCAGAAATATATAAAGTACTTTGTCAAAACTGGAACCCCTAAATATTTTTGTACTTCTTATCATACGTGGTTTAAGTATCGAGCTTTTACAGTGTACGTTATTTGAGGTTAAGAACTCTATTAGCTATAGCATACTTGTTTTTTTCTGAGAGATGTGTGTTGTACTTGAATCATGTGGCAGTCACAAGTACCGGCCGAACCCGGAACAGTACCGCCGACTTTCCTCGACACTTCACCTCAGCAAGGCGTGAATTGCGTAAGCAACTTCAGATTGTTGTTGAACTTGACAAATGTGGCATGCCTGCTCACGGTAACAGTATGCTCTTATTGGTTGATTAATTCTCTCCACGTTTTGCCTTCCATGTTTCTGCATCTTCCGCTGTACATTGAATCCAATTTGCGCAAAAGTAATGTATTCTTAAGTCATTAGGAGAAGTGGGTATGATGACTAGAAGCTGGTAACCTGTTTTCTTGTTGTGAGTTACGTTTGTATAGAAAAAGAGTAGATTTTTTAATTTTGGTTAAAAAAAATGTTTAACCAGTTTAATTTATTTGCTTCAAATTAACACAAATGCACAAAGTCACTTAAATAGCACTATTCATATTTCATTATAAATGTGCAAAATGTTCCATATTGAAATCTTTCACTTTTTGACACTGGAGCATCCAAATTCTGACTCCTGCGTTGGGGGGGGGTGATCAGCCAAGGGGTTCTAACGACGGATGAAGTCCAGAAAAATAGCAATATTGAACAAAATGATGAGTTAATTGCGTGAACCATAGCAATTATCTCATGTATTCACCACGTATAAAAAAGGCCTATGTGAACTGACATGTGCCCTTCATGCAGTAATAATGTAAATATCTTATTCTTTGTCAGTTGTGGTCTTGGTACCTACAGGACCATATGGTATCGCAACCCAGACGACCACAGTCGGCATCTTTGGTGCTGTGAGAACTATAAATCTCGCATCTAATTTTCTGGAGACGAAATACCTTTCTGCCTCTCGTACTTGTACGCGCAGAATATCATTTAATTTGTGTCTCAAATTGCAGAGTTATTGGTCCTGGTGAGTGATGGTCTCTTTCAGAATCTGATAGTAGCATACCCTTAAACATTTTGATTTGCTTCAGTGTCATGTCCAAGATGTCTGATTCACGGTATTGCTGTTGGAATTAATTCACTGTTAGCTGGATACAGTTCTACTGATCACCAACACTTATGTCACTATTTCACCTGTGTCTGATGTAATTAGGAATGTATTTAGAATAATTTTGTAATTGTAGCTGTAATATTAAAATAATTAAAAAAAACTCAGCAAACATTTAGTAACATGAAACCCACATGTACATTAAAGTATATAAGAAATTGTTTAAACGTAATAAATGTCATTATTAAGATTATATAAGATGCTTTTTGAATGACTTCAGCTTAAGACTGCTTATAGCGAGCTTGATATTGTGATGCTGGTATCTGGTTAATTTTGGATGTACACAGATTTTTTGCCTCCATACTTTCAGTGAAGAAGTATTGTGTTGTAGGTATGAATTCTATAGGTCACAGGGCCAGACCATATTCGATAATTACTTTATTCTTTGACAAGCTCTCAAATGTGTATTCGTTCTTTTGTTGTCAGACAATGGTGTTGGAAGGAGGATTAGTTCCTAAGGGACTGTACATGACAGAGGGTGACCTTGAACGGGAAGGATGTCCGCTAACTGAAGATAGCATCTATCATTCCGTTAGCTTAGGTCGTGGCCAGGTAAGTTTGTGCAACGTAGGTTTAAATAAAAGGTAGGTGTGTTAGACGGCCCTTTTGTCTCTGTGTGTACAGAATAGTTTGTCTGATTTTAAGTACTCATGTGATGGTTGTTATACACTGCTGTAATCTGTGAATACGAGGCTCAGTTTTCATTTTAGTGATTTGAATCCCTCCAAGTGTTCATCAGGAAGATGTGTGTTATTTCTTGATTTGAGATTCTTCATTATCTTACAAGTAATTCTAATCGCTGATGTGTTTAATAAAGAAGGTGTGTTTGTCTTACGTGGCCACCAAACTCCTAGCATTGTCAGATAGCTAAAAATGTGTAGTTCAGGAATTTTGACATAGGTCGTGTATGATGTAACTTTGTTATCACTGTCTTTGCATATATAAATGCAGCCTAATATATAATTTTTCTAATATTATATAATTTTGTGTAGGTTCATGAGGTGTTGGTATCAAATAATGATCCAGGCAGTGTGATTACTTGGGATTTTGATGTGATGAGGCAAGATGTAATGTTTACTGTGTACCGTACACGTGTTCCCGTGCCTGCTCAGAGCCCATCAGGTAAATAATGAGTTTCAGTTAAGTGGATCACAAATTCATTTGATTGCTAACTGAATGGATTTTCAAGAGGACCCGTTCATCTTCGACTTTAATTCTGATGCTTTCCTGTAGGTGCTCTTCAGACAATACAGCAAATGAATCCATTAGCTCCTGATCCTGAACATCGCTCTGCCATAGAAAAGTGTTGGAAGGAAGGGCAAGATTACTTTCGCGTTGAGACGCCTGTCGTTTGTCATGACGGAGAGAGCATTCAGGTACTGTGATCATGTTCATTAATTTATTATGTCTTCCTGTTCCCAATTCATGCACAGTATGTGTGTACACGAAGCAAAAGGCGACAGAACGACACTACATGGGATATTAGATTATCAGGTACCATCTTCTGAGGGCTCTTATTATTAAAGATTTTCCTTAATTTCTGTGTTATTCTATAAATATATATTCCTAAAGACCTTCTTAATGATAATTGTGTGGTTTAGGTCATTATTTGTTTTATGACTTCATGATGCAACACAGATGTTTGAATCTCATACTTGCAAACATGCCCCGTCTACGTTAGCAACATTTTAGTGTTAATACTTTTCATAATAACCTACTAGAAGCTGGGGAAGAAGGCATGTTTGATATTGATCAGATAAGGAAATATATGCAGCCTTCAAAATGATGAACACTTTATTTTCAGGGTTCACATGTCACGAGCCATATAGGAACATATATTCTGCAGTGGAAATTCCATTGTGCTCATACTCTGGACCTCATAGATTCATTCACGGCCCACAAAGCACAGGTTATGTATTACTACGAGATACTTCGCTCTGCAGACTACAGGTGAGTTCATAAAACTGATACCTAATAGAGTGGAGGTGACTGGAGGCTGCAGAAAATAGCAGACCGTGTTCAAATACAAGGAAGTGATTGATTAATCTATAAAAATGTGTTCTTCATTTATCCAGAGGTTCAATGTCTAGTCTGCAGTCTGGTAACAGCGCATTTTCAGCACTGAGCAACCGGTCTGGGGCAAGCTCTTGCCCTTCTAGATGATGTATGGATCGGTCGCAGACTACCAAAACTGCGCCTGAATCCTGACAAGCGTTCAGAAACTCTGGAGCAGGATAATTGGACGTGAGCGGGTGCTTATTCTTCCGACGGAGGTGATTGTTTCAAATGCTTTATAGTTGTGTATGTCTATTGCCACATTGAGAATTTTTGGTGGAGGTTAGTACCTATTTGCTACATTATAATTCATTTGGAATAATATTGTAAGATGGTGCATTGTTCATCAGATGCGTTATTTTTTTTATTAATTTCACAAAAACATGTATTTCAAAGAGTGAATATTCTGCAGCTGTCTAAAAACTGGAGATAAATGCATCATTTTTTGTATCACGGCAGTGTTACAAACTTTGTCTGCTGTTTAGAATAATTATGCTGAATATCTTGGTGGAAATACAAATTGAATGGAACTGGACATTTATCTCCACGTAAGTGTAATGTATAAGAGTTAAATCAGAGAGCCGCACATTTACTCTTTCTTTCTTTTCTTCTTCAGGAACACAGTAAAAATACAGATCATGTCCAATATGTAAGTGTATCACTTGTGAAATCAGCTAAACAATTCTGTAGTGAACAGACACATCACAAAATACTTGACATACAAACTTCTGATTTGGATAAGCAGGGTGAAGTACAATGTTTGAGATAATGTGAATGGGTGTGAGCGACTGCTGTTATAGTGATGGGATGTATTTCAAAAACTGAATATTTATTTTTTGCATTTTATGCAGTATTTTTTTTGCATCGGAAGACTGTAAATTTGCTTGCATAGTGAGATATAGCTCTAAGTATCAGTCTGTGTTTTTACATGTGTCCGCATAGTTACGTATCCTATATGGACACTTTTATTAATTATATATACATAGTGATGTAGTACTTTTTGCAGTAGGTTCTATTTACAGCTGATCTTAGTAAGAATCACATCTCTGCTATGTAAGGCATGGTACATGAATATGAGAAGTTATTTTATTAATCACTGTTAGTCTCGGTTCATAATCATGATCTTCATTACATGTTTTAGTTAGGTGAGCATAAATACATTTTAATTTATCTACACTTTTGTGTACAGGCCAACCCCTAAAAATAAAATGAGTGATACGTCAACAGATACCAATGAGTACTTATAAAAGTAATTACAATAGTAAAATTTTACCTTTGTTGATAATTTTATAAAGTATCCGTCAGTCTGTGATAAATGTATAACTAAGTAACGAATGTCATGGAACAAAATCCTTCTTGAGAAGCTCCTAGTTGCTCAGCTATTCAATACCCTCCCTTTTATATGGCATAAAGGGTCATTACTGTGTTCACAGGAGTGTGCCACCAGATGAATCCAATCCACACCTTCCCACCTATATCTAGGTCTTTTAAGTGGTCTCTTTCCTTTTGGGCTTTGCAATGAACATTTTGTTTGCATTCCCCAGCTCCATGCATGACCTCCTTACTTTGATCATCCTAATAATATTTTATGACATATAAGATATATATAATTGTATGTGCTCAAGAGAAAATTTGTACTTAAGGGAGGAGAAGTGGAACTGGGGTAGCTAAATCAGTATAATGACTGGCCTGGCTACAGATTGGATGACCAGGGTTCAGTCCCTTATGGGGCGGAGGATTTTTCCTCTAGCCTCTGTGTCCAGACCAGCTCTGGGGCATGCCCAGCCCCCTGTTCAATGGGTACCAGGGTCCTTTCCCAGGGGTAAAGCGCAGCCGGGGAGAAAATTGCATAATTTGTTATTTGTACTGTTCATCAGATATTCCTTTTACTTCAGAAGATAAATATTTATGTCTGGTGAAACCATACACATGATTTCCAAATGGAAATTTTGTGCAGAAATCAATTTGTAAGCAGTAAAAAATATTTATAAAGAAATTAATTTCCTTCTTCCATGAAGGAAGAAAGAAAAGGATGGTGATTCTTGTAATGTTGAAAGTTGACATTGTATATGGGATTTTAAATTTTCAGTTTTAATTAATTCTCCATTTTGTATCACAATAGTATTTCATTTATCCATTTAGGATTTTATTATACCCTGTCAGCTGTAAATATTTGCTTTTGTATGTTGAAACTTCACTCTGTGGGAAATTTTACATTAATGCGTTTTTAAAATTCTTTACATAAATCAGAATTTTGAAGTTGAAGTTTCTGTAGCAAAATCTAACAAGTGTTTCTCTTAACTGGATAATAAAATAAAAAATTGGCATATATATTTCAGAGGAAGTTTAGTAAGATGGTAGAATTTTTGTTATGTGTATGGTAGCATTGCTTCAGTTTGCCTGCAAAATGGCCATGAATTGTCTTCAACACTGCAGTCCTGCATTAATATGGCCTCAATGTAAATATTCTGCAAATATTAAATAAATTTTGGATTTAATGTTATCCTTTGCAGGTTCAAGGGAAATATATCATATTAAACTTATGATAAATGATATATTTTTAAAGTTAAGTATAAGTGAGTATCTGTGTATGTAATGAAATAGAAAGTAGTTCCATGACATTTATTAAAACATGTGGATTTATGTTTAATTCTAAACACTAATTTCACTAGATGTATTATATGAGCCAATGGGTAACACTATTATTTGTTATGTGTGTGAGAGTACACAGCATAAAATACATATGACTGGAAGCCAGGTTATACTGCATTGTTTACCTACTGAAATGTGGATGCATTTTACAGTCCATTTGTTTTTGATGATACTGTAGCATAATTACCTTTTAAGATATAACAATTGATAGAAATTATGGTAGAAGCTGGAGAATACTGAGATGATCTTGGTTTTGTCCCCATTTTTATATGATTAACATTTAAACAGATCTGTTATGTTTGGAAGACATTGCTGAGAATACATATAATGATTATTAATTTTAGGAAGTATTAAATTTTCAAATATTTTTAAAATAAGAAATCACTTTTTAGAGTAATATCAAATGTGTCACTAATCAGAAGTCAGCAATGTTCACAGTACATTTTTACACTTAGATGTGGATAATTCAGTTCATTTCTATAATAAAGATAATGAAGATGTATGTAGGCAACTTAGAATTGATACTCTAACCTCAAAACATGGAATGAAATGTAGTGTAGTGAGGAAAAGATCATTATGACTAAGTTGTAAGCATACATCATATTTAAATAAGAAATTTTAAATACTTTACACATGTCCTCTACAATCCAGCCATTATGTGGTATGTCAATTATGTAGTACAAATTATTAACACACTTATAATATTTTTTTTTAAAAAAAAGAGTTATCTCTTCTTTGTGAGAAGTAGTTTGGTCAGGTAAAGTTAAGTTTCATTTTTAAGGCAAATAAAACAGAAATTAAATTTAAGTAATTGAATCTGAATTTAAATAGTATGTATATGATGCAGACATAATTATAATCAAGACAGGGTTGTTTTCTGCACGTTATTGATGTGGATATAGAAAATTTGAAGGAATGTAACCTATAAGAATAGTGTAGTAATATTTCTTCATTTGTTGCACACAGGCATTAAGAAAAAGGAAACTACCGTAAGTAAGATGTCTGTATCTAGTAAACTTATTATAATTTTGGTTGGACTGGTTTTTATGTATTGTGCTTTGAGGTTCTCACAACAATGAGAAAGTGAATTGTTTCCATCTTCACAACAGATGGAGATGATGCATTACTTTGAAATGTTAGTTGACCACGTAGAAGAAATTATTGACCAAAACACCAAAATTCACATTATGACAGATGGGTAAATCTGATAAGGTGATAGTATAAAAATTTCACAGAAAATAAGTGCTTGAAATGAAAGCCTAGGCACATCGTCAGAAAAGCACTAGACATTTTATTTATTAACTCGTTATGATAGTCTCCTTTTTGTCGTATGTTACTATCTTGATTAAACCTTATAGTCTGTATATAAATTACCTATAGCTTGATAGTGATATAGAGACAAGCTGTTTCTCATCACATGTCAGAAATCGGACCCAAAGGAGGGGTTTTGCCCCAAGTATAGTCTTCTGCACATACAGTCTCAGAGTTATGGCCTGTACATTGTCATGAGAATGCAAAATTTAAAAATAGGAATCTCATACCTGCAAGACTGTTTAATCTCCCACATTAGAACAGGTATCATTTCTGCAAATTTACTTCGAATTGTGTAAAACTGACAAAGGAATAAGTCTGCCATTTATTTTGGGGAAACAAGACATGTTTTTGACCAGATAATGTGAGATACAAAGTTGGTGAAGCTTTGTGGTTCCTCAGGAAAAAAAAGGATATTTATTATAGAATTGTAAAGGTAAATTGAAGTTAAAGGTGTTATGTTTAAGCTATTGACTATACATTAGTGCATAAGTGAACTATTATTCATAAAGTATGAAAATGTAAACACATAATTCTGGCTGGGCCTGAGAATAGTAGATCTTATAGATACATAAATGGTACAAAAATAGTGGTAGAGTTTATGTGAGCTATTTTTTAACAAGACATAATTTAAATGTGTATTTATAAATAGGTATAGTGTGTGCTGCCATTTGTATACATATAAACAAGCTTGTACTACTTGAACTGTATTTTTTTTTGGTGATGTTACATTTACATAAATCCAAGGCCTCATTCATCGAGTGATTGATCGTGCACTTACCTCACATGTCTCTTTCAGACAGAAGGAACTATTAAATTATTTCAAAACAAATGATATAGCAGTTATGATTTTCCAAGAAAATATATGGAGTGTCTTAGAAAAATCACACAGATCTCAGTCTGGATTTTCAACTTCTGATTTTATTGGCGGACTTTTGGATGTGACTTAATGCTTCGTTCCCCGTCTACATTGTGTAATAAAATCTTATTTAAAATGTAACTGGAAAATAACTGCGCTTATAGCACCTTACACTAATGTTGTAATAGAATGGGTAAAGGGTTAAATATTTTCCTTGGATTTTGTAAGTATGTCATGCTTTCCTGCCTTCAATATCACCACCTTAATTTATTTTCAGTACTTGTACTCAGTTTTTATCAGAAATGTTATTTAAAGATTCACTGATTTTGATTATACTAATTTTACTCCTTCCTGACATCCTTTATATAGGCGTATTGACGTTAGTGCTGAAAGTGAAGGGCAGAGAGACCTTTCAGAAGACTAGAATTTGGTTCAGATGAATTATGGAAGATAAGAAGGTCTTGGGTTACATCTACCTTATCGTTGAGCCGGCATATAATACAAAGATCAGGTATGTATTCACTGTCGCCTTGTGACCAATTTATAAGTGCAAGAACATGTCAGTGGTGTGGGCTTTGATTGTTTAAACACAGGGATCATGGGTTCAAATCCTGCTCAAGGCATTGATGTTTTCCCTTGTCTTTCTGGGTTGTGTTGTCACGTACAGGTAGAAACTATTTAAATAGCTTAGTAAACCTCCAATATGTGAGGTGGCCGTAGTCCTTCAAGGAGCCACGGAGGAAGAACCTGCAATCTTTTATCTGCAGCCCCATTATGTGTTTCACAATGAATGAGTATCTGTAAGCTTCACTGTCGGTCTGGATAAATGTATTCTGATACAGTTACATTGTCCTTGTCTTAATTAAGCATGTTGTCATGAAGACTTTGCCCCATGTCTAATTAATCCATTAGCAAAGTATCCTCCTAATATTTCTTGACATGTACATCAAGGAACATAAAGTCATAGAACGCAGAGAACTCTTTTAATATTTTTATATAGGAAAATGGGGTTTAAATACATACATCGTGTTCCCTGATAATGACGAGTCGTGCGGTTTCAGCTGGGAGCCAGAAGGTAACAGTTGTGTTCACTGTTAGCAGTGGAACATACTATATATATAGTATGTATCCTAATTTTGATTGATTCTGGCACATCTTTTGAATTTTACAGACATTAAAGTTAACCTGGAGCATTCAGTTGGCTTCATAATACAAAATATTTTGTCATCTTCAGTGGTCACTGCACTGCGTACAGTAAAAAATACAAAACCTTTTATATCCATTGCTATTCTGTCACTAGGCAACCGTAATTTATAAAGAAATATTTCTGTTCAATATGAGCTTGATCTTCGTGGAGTGACACAGCGGTAAATAATAGAAAAGGTGTCTGACGTCACATCCTTTCTTTTATAGAACCCAAATTTAAGAAGTAATAATTGTTCGCCGTTTGTTATCTACAATGCAATATCTTGCACGATCCATTAAGAGGTGAAATTGTTTTGTTTACATTTTTTATTAAGTTCATTAAAGATACATGTAGAATATTAATTGTGTAGTTGGAAGCATTGAGGAGTTTGCTGAAAGATGCGTCATATAAGAAATATACAAATTAATTATTTCAGTACTGTTTATTGTAAGATAACTCAAGGAAAGAACATACTTTAGCTAGTTTAATACAAAAAGGTACATATATTTAAATAAAATCCTTGCTAATTATATGACAACATTCATAGATGATGAAACTATTTTGTAACATTTTCTATCGTACCTGTAAGCCTTAACAGCTGTAACGAAATTTTATGAAACTAATTTATGCCATCCCTCAACCACAAATTCCATTGATAAAATACAGTCAGGTGCCATAGATTTTACAAACTGACATCTGTACATGTTACTTTTTAACATTTTTTTACCATGGAAGTTCTTTGCCATCATACTGCACAAAACCTGCATTTTGTTTCTCAGTAAGAGAATATAAAGTTTTCACTATGTTACTGGCACTGATTTCTACAGTAAGGTTTGCATTTTGACCACCCATGTCAGTCTTGACCCATCCTGGATGAATCACTGTCGCAAGTATTCCATCTCCCTTCAGTTCGACACTCAGGGAACGGGTTGCCATGTTTAAAGCCGCCTGTAACGAGAACATGCAAGGAATTGTAATTAATGAAGAAAAAGTTTCATGCCACATAAAAAATAATACTGGGGATACTAGGAACGACCCGTTCTTCAAGTGCCTGAGCACTGCGGGTCCCAACTTTTTCGTTGGCTCGATCTGTAGACGTTTTAGTAGGACTCCTTGGATGAGGGATCGGCCTCTACCTGTACGCAGGACGGCACAACACAGAAAAACGCTGACAGACATCCATGGCTTGAGTGGGATTCGAACCCACGGTCCCAGCGACCGAGCGACACGAGGCCACCATAAGAAATAATACAGGACAGAACGGTGATAAATTCTTAAAATGTGCCAAAGTTAAAATATTTGGAAATGACAGTGACAAAAACTACATTCATGAAGAAATTAAATATATTCAAAAATGTTTTAACAAATTTATGCAAAATTTGGAAATGGCCGGTCCAAGAACTCTAGTACTTTTCATTATTTTACTAAACTTAGGGTGACATATCCTTACGCCATATAAGGCCACAGTACGAACAGTAAAAGTCGTATACCTTGCTCTCTCTGTAACCATGGGAACCACTGCTTGTATTCTGTGAAATTGAACCAAGTACCGAGGTAACATTGATCACTGCTGCTCGTAGAACTCCAAGTGGCAAACTAGAGTTCTTTGCAGCTGCTTTCTTCAAGAGTGGAATGAATGCCTGTTTAAAAATTGAAATGTGTCAGTTCGTTATTAAAAAAACACGAAAGTGTATGATAAGCTAAACTGAAATGAAATTCATTGAGACATTGTTCCTAAATAAAGTGACATAAATTCTAAATTTTGAAATATAAGCTGTAGTTGGACACAAACAAAAAAACAACCAGAAAAACAAATTACAATTGATTTACAGAAGGGGAAATCAGATCGCAAACTGTTCAAATTCCTTACCATCAGAAATGGAGTATAAGAATGCAATATGTACTATATTGGCAGTACCTTCGTTAACATGATGGGTCCTACTGTATTGGTTAAGTAATGCAATGTTAGATTTTCAGCTGTGATATCATTTATTGTTGCTGTTTCCTTTAAAATCCCTGCATTGTTGATCAATACATTCAGTCCTTCATCACCAACAATATTTTCCACTTCCTGTACTGTCTTGTCAAAAGTGTCAGACTGTGTCATATCTGGATCAGAAAATGAAAACATGTTTCAAATTTTGTGTAAAACTATAAATAAAGGAAGTTAACATAATGTAAATGTAAACTTACAAACATTAAATCAATTCCCAGTTCAGTGCTGCCGCCTGCAGGTCCCACTAGTTCATATTATCATTAACATTTAATGAGTGTGGTTACTAAATCTTATAACTTTAAACATTCATTCCAATGTACCTACTATCTGTGTCAACCGTGCCACTGATGTAATTAGTATCACAATGTGTTAGCAGACCTTATTAGGTATTCAAAATTTTCAAGACTTATGAGCAGAATTAATTAAATATGTAAGTACATATGTTAAGTAAATGGCAATATGCATTCATTACTTACCCAACTGAATAATATGCACATTCTTATGCGTTTTTGAGAACTCTTGTAAATCCTGAAGGAGAAATATAAAAAAAAGAGAATACTATTACATAATTCAATAACTTGTCAGCAAAATCAAATGTGGGTTTACTTAATTTACAATACAGATTTGGATCCAAATTACTGTGGGAAGTGAATCATGTGATCTCATATTTTCATTCAATATTTTGTTAATGTTACAAATCCAGTCCTACCGAACAGTCCCAGGTGCAAATCTTGGCCTGGAGACCAGCTGTCCCTACAGGTTTTTGTGGCTTTCCTCAGTCTCTCCAGCCAAATGCCAGGATAGTACCGAAAGTTAGGCCACAACCGCATCCTTCCACATCCTCTCCAGTTAATTATTAACTAATCATTCGCTCATTCGATGCTTTACAATCACAGCTACTGCTAGAGTTATTAAATAACATATAAATTACCATACCTGGGCTGAATCTGGATTTCTGCATGCAGCAATTATTATCTTGGGTGGTGATACATGATCAGTTAGTTTCTTCACCAGTTCTAAACCAATTCCACGATTAGAACCTGTAATTAAAACAGACTTCATATCCGTATGATACTATATGAGATGACTGCACAACTAATTTTGAAAGAACCTATCCTTTGTTATTTATCAGGATGTATTTAGTATTTTGCTCTAGTATCACGATGTACTGTCATATCTTATCAGGAATTCAAGAACGTTACATAACGTGATATCATGGTTATCCGATACCCCCCTCCCAAATTATGAACTGATCTGAAATTATTTTAAAATGTAATTGACTTTATATACCATACGGCCTTCGCGTGCTTCTTATACTAAATCGTAATTCTTACATCGCTGATTTTGAATAAAAATTATAAATACAGTCATCTCTGGAATTACGTATGTTTCGTTAACGCGAATTGGCTCCAATGAGATCAACGAATCGATAGAAGCTGTTTGTGAAATGCAAACTTTTGCATTAGCAAGTTTGCTCTTATGCAATTTCATTCCTGGCGCTATTAAACTTTCAAAGGACTAATTTATTCTCTGCGGAGGTACCGGGGTGATTTTTACTACGCGATTTTCTATAGGTCGGCGTCTTACATTTTGAATGCAACTATCGAATAACAGCAGAGATGACTATACACATCAATCACATGAAACTGTCGCGGGGACCAACGAATTGCTGATTGTAAGTGAATGAAATATATTTTTTGAAATTCCCTTTATTTTATTTACGTTATTTCAGAGCTTTTAATGTAATGCCATTATATTACTCGTCAATGTTTGGGTGCTGGGAACGCATGTCATTGACCTCCCATTGATTTACATTATAAAAGTGTTTCAATTTACGCCGGTTCGTCCAGAAATATATCCCCGGCGTAAATCGAGGGCTACCTGTATAGCCTAAAACAAAATTTTGTGAGTATATAACAGCCTTTTGGGATATTGCTACAGAAAGTCTCATAGAAGTTGACTGACTTGTCAGAGGTGCTTAATGCCTCCAGTTTCAGGGTGATTCGAGACTGCAAAGCGCAGTATCCCAGGCCATCATCATACACGCTGCTATATGAACCTAAATTGTCACAAAATTACATTATTTGCGTTTGTAATTAGAATTATAAATTCATTTTTCATAACTATGTAACATGATCTTACCTTTCCATCGATCTGGGCCAATGAAACAGAAGTTATGTTTATTGACTCGACTTCTGACGTCGGACTTGGAAGTTGAGAACGGCGAAGGTGCCCTCGGTAGCTATTTTGTGACGGTATGGGTGGTTGGAAGTGTTAATTAGTTTTTCAGGTTTTCATTAATTCAAAATATATATATATATTTGCACTGTTACTACAGTATCGGTCTTTGAGTAGACCCCTTACCAATCTGGATCTGTACATTTATTAAATGAAAATACTTATCCGATAAGTTCCACAGTATTATCGCACAAGTCTCCAAGCCTGCGTGTGGCTTGCCTGGTGCTAACGTGCTACAAAACACAGACTTTAAATGTCTGCTATGACTTCAATGGCAATTCTTTTTTCTGTCACTGTGGAATACTCCACACACCATAATCTATTATTTTACAGAGTACCACCTTAACAGTCCTCAATAAAGAAAGAACAAAATGTTACTCAACATGAATAAATATACTCAACTGTAAAATAAAACATATATTTAACTTGAAAATTATTACATCAAAAAGATATTATTACAGTTCAATTAAAATTGAAGTCTTTGATTCCATTAACGTCATAGAAATGAAATCCTTGATAAGTTGAAGAGCTGCATCCATATACATTTACAGCCTTTGTTAATGCATGAAAATTAGGAAACAAAACCATGTTCCGTCCATGAAAAACACTCATCTTTAAACATAAACATTAGAGATACATGGAGATTTCAAATATTGACAATGTTACAATACAAACCATTTAATATTCAATACTGCTGTTCTTTAACTCTAACACCCACCTCAATATCCTGCAAAATAATCGGCAATGTTTCTGAATATTATAAAAATATTGTTAAAAGTATCACATACATATATAACTACATATTCTTATTTATGAGGAATAAGAAGAAGAGAAGAGGTAAATGTAAGAGAATACATGATGTCCATGTTCTCTGCACACCTCCCATTAATATTTATGGCCAAACAACGTCTTACAAGTCAAAGAATTATTACACGTCCGGTACTGAATGATCCATGGACCCCTTTATTAGACTTGAGGCCATCCTGAAAAAGATAAACATAAAAATATGTACCTTTAAATGTGAGTGACATTATATCAAAAATATTCAATCCTTACATTGGATAATGACAAAAAATGTTACATTTACCATGCAGCCTCTGAATACTTACATAACTTGAGTTATCACAATGCAAACGAGAGGAATATTAAAGTAATTCTTTTTTTTTTCATGTCCAGCACACACCATTCAGCACGGTGTGCATTGGTGGTTAGCAGGATTCACGACCCATCAGTACATGGGTTCGACCAGGACCGCGACATTTAAGGCTCCTGCTGTGACCCCCTTTTTGCGAGATGATGAAAGTGGAGTAATTGTTGGGATGCCACGAAGAACCGGGGAAACACTGTGATGCCCAACACAAGTTGTAAATCTGAGCACCGCCGGGAATCGAACCCGGGACCCCAGTATTACAAGCCCAGCGTTCTAACCGCTAGACCACAAAGTAAGTCTTAACCTCATCATATGGGAATAGGGTATTTTAAAGATTGCCGTCTTCTGGGTTATTGCGCCGTGTATTCTGGTAGATTTTCACCGTTTCAGAGGTCATCAGGGCGACATTCATCGCCCTGATGACTGAATAAAGTATGTTACCGATGGGTTTTTTGAATGGATGTCAGATGTTTTGGCAAAAAATTACTTCTTTTGCTGCAAGAGGACTTCTCGGTCATCAGAGCTGAAGTCTTTACGTTGTCATAAAAATTATACAGAACTGTAATACTCACTTTTTAACAATGTGGTCATATATGAACGAAGGAATGACTGTAACCGTAATTATGGGGCCTCCTTCATCTATCAATGCTGTGATATCCTTGTCCTTGATTCCGACAACATTCTGTCCATTAACTTCCAGAAGATGGTGCTCAGTGAGCAGGCCATTGCGAGCTGCTGACGAATCCTTTACCAGTCCAATTATCTTCCCGTTCTTGAATTGAAACCCAATGTGGCCAACACTATCCTTATGCAAGGTGACTGTACGCTCGAAAGGTCTGTCGAGAAATAATCCACTTGTTGTAAAATACAGTAATCAAACCTCAAATGATATTGGTATTAACTTTACGTAAAACACGGCTAGCCAAATTATAACGATCCGGGTCTGATTTTTCGTCAGTTAAAAGTATTATCATACCAAATCAGATTTTATCTTATAAATTCGCGATCCATACATACCTATCTCGAACCACGACAGAGATACCATTGACCGGACTTTTACGGAACAAGGAATGGACCTGATCCATGGAAAAACCAGCTACGGTAGTACCATTTATCTGCAGAACTTGATCTCCAAACCGCATGCCGGCTATAGCGGCTGGAGAGCCCTTTGTGACCAGGCATACAAACACGCCCTTGTTGACAGCCTGCACCCGTACACCAACCTTTCCAGAAGCATCTTTGCACAAAGTCAGCTATAAATACAAAAAATTAATTTCAAAACCTTATTATACACATAATTTACATTTGTTAACAATGAGAACCATTTTGGTTACCGGAATTAAATTTAATGTGATGACAAGATAATTTCAGAACATGAACACAGCTTAATTCACATCTTACAAAACAAATTCCATCAATTCAGCCTAAATTTGCTCTCACACGTGGCTTAATACAAAAGAAGATAAACACATTCAGATATGAGATTTATGACAAGCGTATTTGCCTTTAGATCTTAAAATCTTATTTTACAGATTACTTTTGGGCACAATAAGAAGTGTTAAAATTATTCATATTAAGGTTTTGTCATAACTTTTAAATACAAATTAACCAAATTTCAAATTATTCACATTCTAAGTTATAAAAATGTATGAACCTAAAACTAATTCAATTTCCTAAAAAAATGAGGTAGTACAGGGACAGCAAATATTATAAAAATATTTTTATTCATCATGAACTCACCTCCCTAATTCCATTTGTCACCTGAGCTCTCTGGAGACCCAATGACTGCCCTGACAAGGGTGCTACCATTCCAACAAGTGGCCCAGACAGTGCCGTAGGAACAGAAACAGCTGACTATAAAAATTAAAATATTAAACCTCCAAAATACATGAACCATCTACTTTAACAATCAATAATTCTGATTTTGTATTTATAGATTTCATATGTTTTTCAGTATAGAAAGTGATTATTTCCTAAAGAAGCATTAGCCAGTTGATATTTGTACAGGTGAAGTGTTGTGTTTTCTTTGAGGTACGGACTGGATTCTTAAGTATCACTTAGATGAGCTTCAGGCTTCAAAGGGTTAAATACCATTAACATGTTTTACAATTACTGAGGAATCTCAAATTTTGAACTGACATCCTTCAAATATAGAGATAAAATAACAGATTACAAAGTAAAATACTTAAATTTCCCTCAAGAGAGATTGTTACAAAACTTTATCATGGGGAAAAAAAGTGACACATACACATTATTTTAAGTTTAATTAAATGGTAAAGATTTCAATTTTATAAACTAGTTATGACCCCAAACTTGTGATAACATACACAAATGCATGCACTTATCACACCAGATATCTTTCTTGAGCTACAACCCATGAAATTTAAGTGAACAGAAGGGCTTTAAAATATGGTTCAAATGGGTAGCTATCGACGATTTTGAGGTTTATTTAGCAACGAGTCTTAACAAACTACTTATATCTACCAAATTCTTCTAACTTATGAAAAAATACATTTTTAAATTTTAAGTAGATACAATTTATCTAATCAGCACTTACTGGTTGTGGTATTGCCACAGCATATTTTGGTGCCAGTTCTGCCAAAGCCTGAGGCGAAATATCCAACCCCATGTAGTCAGAAAGTTCAGGATACAGTGAACCTCCGTATCTTCCTACATTGGGAACTTCTGTTGGGTTCAATGCATATGATGGAGGAGAAGATGGCGCATTTGCTATTGGTAATGCAACCGGATTAAACTGTGACTCAAACCGATATTGTGCCTGCAAATAAATGTTAATATGGTGAGATCTGAGGTTATCACAGTGGTAAAGATTAGATGCTGACCTTCTGACTTGTAATGCTATGACATTTCCAAGGAACAATGCAGAAGACCAACATTGACAAAATATTAGTTACATGTGCTTTGAGGTTCTCACGATATTGAAGACGGTGACGACATTCTGGGTTGTGCAGACTTGAATGCTTCTTCAAAAAGTTGGTATCTGCTTTTGAATTCAAACTGTACTACCAATTACCTTTATAATTAAACAAACCTGCTTTCTAGAATGAAGTTAGAATGTAACCAATACCTTTGACAATATGAGTAACTTACAGGCAAGAATCTCTTACCGTTGCCAGCTGGTCAACTTTCATATCTTCAAGAGAAGGATATAGTGACATTCTTAACACCTGCAAGCAAATTAAAAATTAAGTTTGTAAATATTGTCATGCCGGGAGTTAAGACTACATACCAAATTATATAACTATTAACGTCCCCATTTGAAAAATCTGGATAAAACAGCAACAAAAAATCACTCTTAGATTGCATATTATATGTTCAGTCATGAAAACCAGTGATCAAGCTGACCCAAGAAACCCGTTCTATAGTTATATAGTGAGTTCCTTGACAGTATCATTACAACGGTTTTGGTTACAAATTAAAAAAGACCTAAATTACTTTATAAAACGCCGAACTTATTTTGATATTAACCGAATGTCTTTTGCCCTGTACAAATGAAATGCTATATTTCTATATTCGAACGGTCAGAACGAACCGGCAAAATAAACGAATAACCAAGTAATAAATGCTACGTAAAACGCCTACCTTCCTTGTCCGGTCAATAACAATTACGAATCCCTTCTCAAATCCTGACACACACACACACAGTAACACAATCCTATCCTTTGTTAAGAATTTCAGTGACAGTGACGCTATCGGTCATATGATTCAAATAGTCACAATCTACCAGAATCTATTTCAATCTCGGACAATAAGACTGACGACAACAGATAAGGTTTCAAGTACGTATTAAATATGTTGCAATACCGGATATGATAAACAAAAGCAGTCCCAGCTTGCGCATCAAATACGGCGCTAAATTCAAATGCGATTATTGGGCATTCTTCAGAGCAACAGAGCTGTGTTGATTGATTGGTAACTCACAACGCAGAAAACCAGCAGCTTGTGGGGTCCAAACCATCTTTTGGTCATGGAGTCTTTCCCACTACATCCACCCAGCTCTTCATCTGCCCATCTTTCTTTGCAAAGAGTATTGGAGGCCCTTTCTTTTGGGGTAAAGAGGCAGGGACATAAAACTGACCACTCACCTCCACCTTGTACAGAGGTTAAGGATGCATGGAGCTATACCTTTATCCTCATATAACTTCATGAAATGGTGCTTCATTAAGGACTGAGGCACCTTCACACTTTGTCTTCATTGTTTTACATTTGTCATTCTGCATACATCTTTCACTTGTTGATTGGCTATATTGAATTTTTTGCTTTAATCTGATGCATACGGATACCAAGATACACACCTTAAATGAGGCTCAGTAAGAATCTGACAACACATCTTACCATGAATGCTGACGTAGAGAAATGTGACAGCAAGAGTCACACGAGGATCAGTACCGAGCTGTGTAGAGTGATTCAAACTTTCTCTGAAAAATCACCAACAGTGACAAAATGTGGCATATCCTCTATGCCCCCAAAGTAGATGACAAGTTTCCACGTGGCATCCACCATTGCAACCAAAATCTAAAAAAATTTCAGAGGATTGTTCGTAAGGCTAGGTGATGTTAGAAGAATGGCAGGGTATCATGGACCATGAATTAATTCCAGAGGGTGTGACAGTCAGTCGGAAGCGAAAGATGTTCATCTATGGAAAACAATTAACCTGAAATGTAGGTAAAAAGTAAAGTAAAGCTGTCCCACTATACGCCATGCAGGCTCTTGGGGGGAGTGGAGATATAGCTCCTACTCTTCCTTGGCCTCGGCACTAGATGGGGGTGAGTGGTCGGAATCACGCCCCGGCTGTGCTTTACCCCCGGGAAAGCACCCCGGTACCCATTGTAGAGGAGGCTGGGTGGGCCCCAGAGCTGGTCTGGACACAGAGGCTAGAGGAAACATCCTCTGCCCTCGTCAGGGATCGAACCCCGGTCGCCCAGTCCGTAGCCAGTCGCTATACTGACTGAGCTATCCCGACTCATGCAATGTAGGTAGCCAAAGAATAGTCTTTCCAGAATATACTGTCAGCATCCCAACCATAATGCCAAATGTACACATAAACAGTAATTAGTTATGACCTGGTGCCACAGCCTGTAATGATTGAACAAGAGGGGTAAAAAAATAACAAGCTTTGTAGAAGAACTTGGAATATTCACAGTACATTTATTTACAAAAATGATGGAATATATGTTCCCTTTCTTCCTGAAAACGTTTTTTGAAAACTCCATTACTTTAAGCACATTAGTATTAATTCTGTCAGATCTGGTATCACTTTTGTCACACAAGAATTAAAAGATATTCAGACAATACCAGCTCTGAAATACTTAGAAAACTGACATCTATTAACTGAACTGTATTCACAAATACACACTAAAGTTGGTATTATTCACAAGAAAGAAAATAAATCACATGGAAATACTGCAGAGATAATGTACTATTGAAATCCTTTTCAGCTGTGCATCTTCCAACAGTGCAACCAAACAGAATGTAAGAAGCATGAAATATTGACTTGTCTATCACATAATACCCAAAAACACAACTATCATTAATTAATTAGTATAGTCAGCACAGTAGTTTTTGGCCAGTGGAATTTTCAAGGGGAAGGCAAGGAGCGAGTCATTTGTGCGATAGTATAATGCTGACTGCACCGAGGAGCTTATCGGACTGAACGCCCAAACAAAAGAAATACACTGACCGTGCCACCTCAGGTACACAGAGTAGGCCCACCCACCAGCTCCCCTAGCTTCTCCACCGGCCAAAAACTACTGTGCCGACTATAACATCTGATCAGCAAGTCATGTGTGACAATTTTATTACATTTGTCTGAGGAATAAAGGGAGATTTACACTTCTGTTCTCTGGCAACATTTTCACATCAATGACAAATAGTAAGTTACTTTGGAAATGCTTACAAACATTATTTCCAACAGACGTCGGCTACCTTCCCACGAGATAAATAGTATCACAATGTTAAAGTTTGGTCTAGACCAATGTTTTCCCAACTTCAAAAATCAGAGATTAATGTTGTCTGTAATATATTAAACTGCAGACTGGCAAACTGTATCGGCAAGCCTAATACAAATAAATGTACCAGACATCTCATAACTTCCAATATTAAAAATTACAAAATATTCACAAATTGACTATCACCTAACATGTGTAATACAAGACAAGACATTAATATCATGCATTTTGATTGCTTTTCAAGATGGTGATGCCTTCAAAGTGAACAATGGGGGAATATCTGTTGGATTTCTCTGCTAATATAATTGTAAAACAATAATTCTGAACTACCAACACTTTATTGTAAAAAGATGCAGTTTCAATTCAACATTTTAAGTAATATTTTTTACCGCTATCTTTTATGGACCTGTTTTGTTTTGTTACCAGATCCCAGTCTGCAGACAGCATGAAATAACACTGGTCTAGAAGACAAATTTACATTCAAGAGGAATGACCCACTCACACGGTAAATAATCAATAAAATATCTTCTGGGTTGTTGCACCGTGTAGTCTGGTAGAAGTTTACTTACTATTCAGAGGTCCTTGCTACTTCCATCATCAGGGCGATGAACGTTGGAAAACTTCTTCCAGACTACATGGCACAACAACTCAAAAGGCAGCCATCTTAAGACTTAACCTCAAATTCTACATAATCATTCAAACTTTCATATCAATATTCAATTAAAGAAAATGTTATATATTTACACCCAAGTCTCAATATATATTTATGTCAGAACACAACATTTTATACTATAGCATCATGTTTCAAATATTCCAACAAACATGTCACTATAATAATAAAAAATGGTGTACATTTTTAATTGGATGAAAGTTTCACGCAACAGAAAACTGAATCACAAGTTATTTGTGTGAAAATTATCTCTGTACATCAAATAAAGCATACAAATGAAATACACATAAGCATAGACATAATAGGATATTGAAGACAAGTAAGATATTTTACTTCCCATCATAAAATAAGAAGAAAGGAACCGTTATTAAAAGCATTAAACTGTGAAGACACACTAGCATGTGTACACAGTGATGGCCCATCTCTGTGGCTGATCATTATGTTGCCACTTGGCTCTAGAAGTGCAAATTCTTTCAGTCTCCAATATCTTGCACAATTCTGAACATGGCAGTGATAGATATATTCACTGAAGCCTCAACCAAGAAATGAATCTGGGCATCCAGTCTGAAAGATGTTACGTTATAAACCACAATCACAATTCCATTGAAATGTTAACATTTATGTGAAACATGTATTACAATGAAGGTGGTGTTTATTTGTTATTCATATATTCTCCAACATCCATTACCATGGAGAAATAAGTGTATTTAATACTGATACCAAAATTCATTATACAGTGGAACCAGCATTTAGTGTGACTCAAGTTTACGTAGTTCCCTTAAACGGTGTTAAATCTGCATGTCCGAAAGTCAATTTCATCTGTTTTAAGGTTTTCCTCTGCTTAGTATTCAAATTTAATAATCCCAAAAGGCAAGTTAAATAAGCACTTCACTGTGCCTGATGTCCCTCACATCTTATTCTAAGAGTTCTGTATAAAAAATCAGTGGCAAGATACAATTGTTGTCTATCCTGCGAAGTTAAGGAAAGCTGGACAAGGAAAAAATGTCAAAAAACTAAAGAATAAAAAGACAAATCAAAGTTTTAAACACATTTTTTTCATATTCTAAAGTAAACTTCTGATTATCTGTTCTCATTTAACTAGTGGAAAATTTTAATCCATAACCTACAAATACTTTGGTATGCTTCCTCATTTCCAAAATCCGAGTATGTAGTTTTCCTTCAATCATTGTCAAGTTTTCACTTTACTTAAATTTTAAACTTTTCTATACTACTTATCAATATTAACAGCTAGAAACTCAACATTTTTGTAATTACACACACACACACACACAAGTAAACATACCTGGATTTAAAAAAAGATCAATACGAGATTCAGGCATTTATAATTATGGTATGCTGACAATATAAATCCATGTTTGCAAGATGTTCAGTTCAGAACTGATATATATTACAGTTATATTTCTGTTTATCAGTTGTATTGCTGTAATGTTTACTACAAACTTCATGTTTCTTTACATCCATTACTTTACAAGAGACAGAGCAAATTAGTAAGATTAAATATTTGTTTGCATTATTTGTACTTAGTAAATGCAAAATTGCAGAAAAATTTTGTTCTCTTTCAGAGCATCAATAAGAAAAATACGAATATCTTGAAAAAATAAAATGTTAAAGGCCTATGTAAGCCATTTTTACTTGTAACACACAATATATTTTGCTATTTATGGTGTTTGAGAAATTTCTGAAAATCTAACTACCTGGTCCACAAATTATATCAATTACAGAATTATTGTGGACATTGGTATAAAACAGAAATTACTGGCAAAAACACAGAGAACACATTTCAAAACTATAGACTCTGATGGAATGTATGTTTCCATTATTTTTGTTTACAGAAGCAGAGAAAACGCTAATCTGAAACTAGGCGACATTAAAGAATACTGTGTTTTCATCAAATACTTGAATTCTTGATACATAAATCTTGGTCCCTTCAATGTGCTTCGCCTGTCCCACTGACTGAATCTCACCTGTGATATTAAATTACCTCAGCACACACGGACATAAATTCTGTGCAAAGTTCATCGGTCTGAGTCACACTAATCAAAATACAGCAACTGTCACCATCAAAATTCTGCTTCTTTTGAAATGGGCATTACTACTTTAAAACCCATATTCATTAACTCATAATCCACAATCATAAACATTCTAACAATTCTGAAAACCATAATATTTTCAGTAAGAGTCTTGTGTGTAGTCACTAACCAAATTTAAATTTTTTGATGATTAAGGTACATAAGCTCTTATCCTCAGACTAAATATAAGATGTGAATAAAATAAAGAAATTTGTAATATGCATAAACACTGAATAAAATGACATTACTATAAATTAAAACAAAAATAAAATTAATATAGGATGATCAATATGACATTATAGAAATCCAAATTAACTCACATTATACAAAAAAAAGCCACAACTTCATCATTAACTGAACTGGCTTATAAGTCTACAGGAAATGTATTCCAATATACAATTAAGTGAGCGAAGGAGAGAAAATGGTTCTTTACGAGCACAAATAAAAAAAACAGAAGCAAATTCTTAATCTGGACTTAGAAACTCACTACAAATAATTTCTTTATACACTCCTTTGTGGTAAGCAACGTTACAATCACTGTGCACATTTTAAAACTATGTACTACATTCTGTTAAGTTACTTAACTGTGCAGTTAACAGAACTGGCATGGGATGTGGTCCAGTGACATGCCTCATGTTAGTGGTGTTGCAATCTACAGTTTTTAATAAGATAATTAGTTACTTTGTAATTCCCAACGTATATTAATCTTTAATACCTGATCTTTCTTGTAGGCAAACTTTGTCCTGTGTGCTGAAAATTATCATGGGGAAAAGTAGAAGGGATAAAATAAAGAAATGGCAATCCTGAATGACTTCTAATGTATAATTTCTAACTGAGAAATATTAACGGTACCAGTATCTGTGTAAGATTTTCTGTGTGATGTGAGCATTGCTCATTTTCTTTTACCACCCAACTTCAAACATAACTTTCTCCTTTTCCTGTAAACCAGCTTAACAAAATCTTATACAATTTAAAATGTCTTGACTACACTAAAAATCATACATAAAATGAATCTATCACAACTTTATTCAGTTAACTATACTGCTGTCATATGTCCTTATTCACAGATAATCAGAAGTTAGTAACATAGTATATATTCTCTCGACTTATATGTGGAAAATCATTACAGGTTTAAAAAATTTACCCGAAATCATACTTGGTTCAGAAATACCTTTCCTCTCCTCAAATTAAGTAATCTTCGCACCTTGCTTTTAACACAAAGTGTAACATTTAATCTCTACTGTCCATGATACTTGTTGTTCTGTTTACACAAAATGTTTAGCACAGTATCTGTGAATATAAGTTCTATCAGCATTATCTACACCAGTTCAGAATTAGGATTCGTGCAATACTTTTCAAGGTAACTGTCACTTAATTTTCTTATTTGCAATATAAACACGAGTGTACACTTAAATTACTGACCTTTACCCACTGCTTCCAGACACACTAATGTGTGATCCAAGACAACTGTAAACAAAGTACTTACAAAATTCAGAATTTATTTATTGTGCAGCAGACAAACATTTCTGAGGTCTCTCAAAATGTTTCAAAATTCAGATCGACTGTTCTTATATTCCCAAATAATTCTAAGAGCCGAAACATTCTTCTCTTGACAGAATGTAATTCCAGTAACCATTTTATGCATCCTATTGTGGCAGTCAACAAGTTATACACAAGGTAGATGTCTTGTCTTACACAATATATTTTATTCACAATCAAATATATTATTAGGACAATACATTTTGACCTCACAGAGGCTACTCCAAGGATGCCTCTGTGGGGTTGAAACATGTTGACCTAGTAATAATTTTGATAGCAAATAAAATATACCGTGTCAGATGGATCCTCTACATTTTGTTTTACTTCAGCAATGAATTATCACAAAACCCAAATAAGTCAAAATAAAACTGGATTGTTTGGACATCACAGTCCCTCTGAATGGAAAACCAATATTCTAGCTCGTCATATTCACTTTCATTAGGCAAGTGTACAAACCAATGTACAAAAATAATTAATTTCTCTTTCTGTTTACAGAATACAGACAGTAACACAAATCTCAACGCATCTCATAGCTCAAATGAAATTTCTTCTTTCCGACTCAACTTGAGAGAAGAAGGTAAGTCTTCTGACATTTGAAAAATCTTCCCTCTACCATAAGGAAGAATTTAATACATAAGTTACAGCACAAGCATATCCAAAAAGTTTACAAGCCAACGTAGCAGGACTGTACACTACAGCCAATGTCTCACTTCTGGGTTAGAATTAAAATTCACCTACGGCAGTCATCTGACTACTCTTAAGTCCGAGGACGCAGAAACACACATCTAGATTGGTACTTGTTCCCCTAGTATCCTTAACTTTTCCTGGTGTAATGAAACATAATCCTATTTCATATTATGTACAAAGGTCACGTTGTTAGGCCTGGATCACTGACAGAAAATAGTTTCAATCCAGCATGAAATTTTCAACATCTCGTAGGTATGAAAAGGAATAGGAATTTTCAAAATCTTGTAGAAGACAGAACTTGTCGCCACAGGAAGAGATAATATAATTACAAAAAAATTATATCTTCATAAATGTAAGCAGTACTAGAAGAATCCTAAATACAACACACAGTAAAAAAATCTTGCTACAACTCTCGCGTGACAGTCTATCGCCAAGCAACGCACACCATTACTCTCCCGCTCCATTTATACATTCATTATATATCATATTATCACATTACCTTGCAGATGTAACACAGAACTTCCAGCTTTCCAAATAAATGTTGACAGATTCTCGCCTAACAAAGCAGAATTTAGATTTTATATTAAACATGAACTACACCTTTAGTGTTATTTTCAGCGGGCGCGTGACGTACGGAAAGTCCGCAGCTGATCAGCTTTAAAAACGTAACAATCTGTTATATATACATGCCTTAGGCATTTCAGTAACACAAACACTACACAAATCTTCATCCTGAAATCAAACGTGCAGAGAACCTGCACCAACCTGGCATGTGAATTCTAAATTGTATTAAATTACCTCAAAAATTAGGGTTAGCAGGAATAAGGACTAGGTATTTTGAAAGGAACACATAAGAACACAAATTCAGGAAAATGTGAACAAATTAAGCATGTAATTCAGTTGCCAGGGCAGAAAACGCTTCAGTTTGTGCACGGATCAAACCTCAAAGGAAAAAATAATGGATGTTCAATAATAATGATACAACAGCCAACCTGCACTGAAGGTATTTTTGTTTTGTCATCAATTCACTGAGTAATTAAAGACAAATGACATTACTTTAAATGCCGTAAGTTACTAAAGAAAGCACACCTCTTACCAAAATTTTATATTAAATTTATCTCAATAATAAATCCAACAACTTAATCTGGCGGACTACAAACTTCGGCGTCTATAGCTCGTCTCTGAGCAGCGTGTACCGATTTTTCGACGGTGCCAGTTTCTTAAAAGTAGATTCCGGTGGCGTGGTCGGTTTCTTATTGCCACCTTCAATCTCATTGGGTGTATTTGTAACTGGTTCGGGTCCATAATGGAACTCTCTGTGCAGTTTCCCAGAGTACAAGTCCTGCAGGAAACTCTTAAGCTTCCCCGGAACCTCCATATCTTTTACGTCCGGAAACAGGTACATGTGACGAAAACTGTCGATGGCAATCAGCGGCAAATCACTCTGACTCTTCCCAAGGTGATGGAGTGGATGGGCAAATCTTACACCATCTGCTGTTAAGAAGTTGACACTCTCTGCAAAAACATAAAACAATTCTTGAGCATTCTTCGTGCAAAACGACATACTTTTAGGACATGCAGAAAGCAGAACTCCAAGAGATATTTGACATTACACTAGCGCAAAGGAGGTCTACAGCTCAGTCAGCGTAGTGACTGGGCCGGATGACTGTGGTTTGATTACCAGCAACGCAGGATTTTTCACTCTGCCACGATATCGAGACTAGCTCTGAGGCCCATCCAGCTTCCTACCAAATAAATACTGGGGTTCTTAGCTGGAGGCAAAGCCCCTACATCTTCATGGTGTGGAGCTTAGATAAGCACTGGGACAACTTTACCTTTACCCATGCTCCTATGAATTAATGGAACTTACTTTTCTCTGAGAGGAGTTCGTTTGTTACAAGATACTTGAATTTCTTTACACTCTCATTGTCATCTGGTTTATGAAAAAGTATAAGAAATGGCAGGCCCTCTTCTGTTAATTCCTCAGCGTTCTCGAACGTTATCTCCCTGACCAGTGGCACGCATTTCTCCGTGACCCAAGTGTTGAGCTCGTCGTATGCATTTAGGTTTCCGACGAACGTCTCATCCTGGTCGTTGGACCGAGCCTTGTCGGCACGGAATACCACAATTGGTTGGCCCTGTGGATGCATCTGTGCGCTTGCGGCTCTGACATGAGATAAATTACCGACATGAAGTTAAAATACATTTTCACTCAATGAACAAGCAGAAATAGATCGATACTTCAGCTCGATCTTGCCATTATTAAAAACAGGGCACTGTTTAGAAACTGTATAACAGTGCAAATGTAGAAAAATAAATATCATATACAAGTAACCGCTATTTTAATTTAAATGTAGAACCTAAAAGGTTAAAGGTTATATGAACATGCGGGTTATGCACTTTTTAAGAATTTATAATTTTAATTAAATGTCCTCATATACTTTAAAAAACATGAAGTAATTTCTTGTGACATGAAACACAAAAATTAAAACTAATATGTGTATTAGACTATACAGTAGTCCACAGAAATAACAAATTTACATACATAAGGTGTATAGTGAATATGCTAAAAGAAATTTGAAACAAGTGTACATGCTGATGATGTGTTTGTATGAACATAAACAAGTCTAATTACACAACTTTAATGGACATGAAATATACTACAATCAGACTCACCCAAATCCAACAACAAATTGGCAATCTTCCTTAAGACCTGTAGCAACTTTTCTGAACACATTATATTCTGGTACATCCTTTTGATCAAAGTATCCAATAACTGTTCGTTTTGTATCCTACAACAACGAAGAAAATGAAAAGACAGTCACACAAAATAAAATGTATAGTGGGACATCTTTAATTTACTTTATGAGAGTTGCACCACAAATTCATAAAAAAGGGTCATAATTTTGAAAGAAAAATTTTCCAAATCCACATCCGTATAAAGTCCTTTTCACTGCTCTGGTATATAGGACTCAGAGCCGGCATAGCTCAGTCAGTATAGTGACTGGCTACGGACTGGACGACCGGGGTTCGATCCCCGACGGAGGCAGAGGATATTTCCTCTAGCCTCTGCGTCCAGACTGGCTCTGGGGCCCACCCAGCCTCCTATCCAGAGGGTACCGGGGTCCTTTCCCGGCCGGAGCGTGATGCTGACCACTCACCCCCATCTAGTGCTGAGGTCAAGAATGAGTAGGAGCTATACCACCTCTCCCCCCAAGTGCCTACATGGCGTATAGTGGGAGAGCTTAAAAAAAAAAATATGACTCTCCCTTACATTTGTGACAGACTTTTTCACCCTGTACAATGCCTCATCATTTATAAGCAGCTTGTTTCAGGGTCAACTGTAAGCAGTGATAAAAATGGCAAACACAGGCAGCTGTAATGTTCAAAGTAAACAGGGCTTCATGCAATGACCTTGGGTTCCACAGTGAGAAAATAAAGCTCGACGCTTAATTACGCACAAAGACAAGTCCCTGTAAAAAAAACAGTCATAAATACAAGTTATAGTTTTTGCTTTTTTATTTAGCATTCTCTTGCTGGAAGTCGTCTTATGTTGACACGAATCAATAATATCGTTATGTGTGTATCTCGAGAGCTACTCGTGACATGACCACAAACTCCACTTACTAGTGTAGAAATAATGACCGAAGAATAACTCAACATTCTTTAGGTAATTCGAGACAAACTTTGGTTTTCCGACACTGAAATAAAAATCTTAAATTCCTCTGTATTAACACTAAGTAATTAATATTGTAGGATTTGTCTCGTTATAAAACAAAAGAATACCATCATAACTACGTGAAATTAAAATATACACTTACATCAAGTTCCTTCAATTCTTTCAGGTCTGCAAATTCCCTTATAGGATCTGCCAGTTGTTTCTGGATAAATGACAGAAATGCTTCTGCTGACCTCTGGCCTCGATATTCTCGTTTTGTGGACTGACCATTTCGAAATACTTTTAAGGTAGGATATTTAGTTATGTGAAACCTTGTAGCAATTGAACCTATTTGCACACATACCAAAAATAGCAAACAGAATCACAAAACATACAATCTCAAAAGTGATAAGATATATTCCAAGGACAGTTCAGATTAGCCGCAAACTTCTGACATGGAAATAAATTATAGAAGTTTAGGACTTGAGGCTTCCTAGGTGGCAAGAATTCAGATTGGAGTCTTCTGGGTTGTAACACTGTGTAGTCTCGTTCATGACTTCTACCCTCATGATAGAGCTATTATGTTCCTCTGAAAATTTTGTAACCACCAACAAGACCAGAAAGCATCACAACCCAAAAGACCATAAACTCAAAATTTCAAAATTAAAATACAAATAAAAGTATATAGGTTCATGCATATTTATTACAGAATGTTCTAATTGGTGGTATTTTATTTTCAGGTACTTATGCATGAATTACATCAGTTTTCAGTTAAATTATTTGTAAACACATTCTTAACAATTTAAAAAATTAACATATTATCAGATAATACACATCTTTAAATCAAGTTGTCATCTCCATACTAATAAATTGCATTCATTTGGTCATAAACTTATAATTTCTATTTGGAATAAGGTAGACTTATCAGAGACTTAGAAAGAATTAATATTATGACCAAACTAAATATCATGTCATGTTTTAAATCATACAAATGCATATGAATTCAAATGTGTCAAAATAAACCATGGTAAATGACAATCTAATCATACTAATATGTGTTTTTTAACATTCATACCTTCTTTGTCACAGTCTACCTTTGCCATGACGACTTGGCCGGACACCGGAAACTCAGCTGCGACTTTGTCAGCAGCATCATCAAAGACTGGTGCCAGCATGTTACTGAATCGGCACCAGTCCGCATAAAAATTGATAAGTACCAATTCATTTGAAGCTGAAATAAGACAACATGGGTAAGAGAAAAAAAAATTTTTTTAGACAGGTCTGTTGAATTATTTTACTAGGTAACATATTCACAAAATAGAATAGAATAGAATTTATTTACATTCCATAGATCCTTCATAGGCCCAAGCTAAGGATATAGAACATGTCATAGCACAAATATTACAAATATAAATTACATAGTTATGACAGTCAACTACAGAATTAACACAAAAGTAATTACACTAGAAAACATATCCACTATTGCTTACTGGTATTTCATTTCTGATAGTCCATCAATTTAGACTTACAAAGTTTCAAAGTCGTGAAACAACTGAACAATTAATACGGTTATCAAGATGTGCTATCACACCCTATACAACTACTATCTCTAGCAGCAATGGTATTCAAGTTATGCCCTAATCAAAATGCAATTCCATAAAACGTAAACATGTTCTGTCTGTAGTAAACATGCCAAAATTAATTTTGTTTCGGTCACTCATTAAACTAAATTCTGTAATGCTTCCACTTCCTAATAAATTACATGGAACACTACTTACTGTACAGGAATTATAACAGAACAATTTAATCAGGCAGTAAAAACCCAGAGTGTCTTACCTAATATTGTGTCCAAGTTACTTTGTGTAAGCTGCACTGCCCCACTATCTGTTGGGTTGTAAAAGAAGTAACAGACCTGTTGGGTAAATTTTACTTTTTAAATAAGTTAAAATAATAATTATATGCCATGCTAGTCCTAAAATATTAATTTATGGTAATGTCAGTAATTACTGTGAAAAAAAAACAGAGTTACAACTGAAGAGCTAATGAATACAGTTTTACATTGTATCAGCTCTCTGCGTTCTTCATATGCGAATGAACTTCAACCCTCTATTACGAACACTTGACAACATAACATTTACTTGTCATTGACACTGGCCCATTACGGTAAATTATGGGCACGGTTCTTATTACATTTCATTATATTTTTATAGAGAAAGACTATGGCGTGTCATAATTTAATTAAAAATGTGAGATATTATTGCCCTTATCTACGCAGGGGGAAAATGTGAAATTGTTGTAAACCGATAATGTAATCATAATATACTTTACGGCGTGGCAATTTCTGTGAAAGTTAAATTAGAATCGCTACATGCTCTAACCCAAAACTCAGTATTTCAATATAGTTATTTTACACATTAGAACAACTTACTAATAGATGGAACAGAAGTGAAAATTTAATGCTTCTTAGACTGCACCACACATTCATTTTCTTTAATAAATAAATTCAAATAACCGGTTATTTACATCCATAAGAAACATACACTACCAACAACACTTCAGGACTGGAAGGAAGTATCGATATTTACCAATACAATTATCGAAAGTCTGTCATTAAACGATATATCGTAAAAGTAGTGCAATTTTCACAGAAAGTGATACAACAAAGTAATAATAAAGCCAAAATCACTTAACAAAGCAAAATTCAAAATGTCAAAATAAAATCAGTGAAATGGCAGTAGATATACCGTCAAACGCTGTAACTAAAATAGTACACAGATGGCAGAATAACTGCTGCCGCCATCTACTAAGAAACAACTGCAAGAGTGCATCCTGTCTAACTTCTACGAGATTGTGCTGCCAGCTATCAGCAGCTTTACGAAATTATATAATAATTCCAGGACCGCTATATGGTTCTTCGCAAAACTTTGGTTTGGGAGTTAAGCAATCGGAGTTCAACCTGAACGTATTCTATTTAATAACTGCAATCGGCAACAACATGATGGGTGCTCAAATTCCTGATGTGTACAGATAATAATATCATTATACATGATCCTGTGCGTATGTGAATGACATCCATACTGACGTAGGAGTGAAATGTATGAGAATAAAAGAAAGGGAGTCCTGGGGAGATGCAGTCATAATTATTTTCGTTGTTGGGGCGGGGGTTTAATTAACATTTTGTATAACTACGAATAAGGCTGACTGATACTGCAATCTTACGGTCATTTTTGGTACTTGTTAGAGTATTACAATTTTATACGTGTGCCATTTGATTTTAATACTATCTGAGAGATGGCTCTGACATCGATAATTGAGGTGCTATTAAATGGGAGGGCATTGCGAGTTTCATGGCTGGCGAAGAGTCAGAGAGAGGGAAGAGTGAGTTCGGATAAAACGTAAAAGAAAAAAATATGAAACAAAAGGGAAATACTGGGGAGAAATAATATCGGTGGGAGTTGTAGGAGGGGGGGGGGAAGTGGGGTTTGTCCGCTGCGCCCAACCCAATTCTTCAGTTTGCAACAAGTTCACGTCACTGGAACATACTTTACATGTAGTTGTTTGTTGGAATGTGTGTTCACATTGTTGTGGGTTGTGACTCCGTCTTGAATCCCTTGGTGACTGCTAGATAGTTGTTTTATTGTGTGGTTATTGTTGTTTGCATCTAAACTAAAGCAACCTGGAGGAAAGAGGGGATCGTAAGTCGGCCGTGGTAACACCCCTCGTCGACAACATGAATGTAAGTGAAAAAATACGTCCCGAACTTGGTCACATTCTGCTTGTGAACACATTCCACCATGACACACTCCCTTCCCCCACCACGCACCCTAACTGCGAACTTTTAAAAAAAATATATATTAAATTTTTAAAACGTACGAGTCCCTTAAGCAAAAGTTGGTACGAGTGGACATTTTGCAGCTGCTGTTGTAATTGAAATACAATGGGACACGTTATGATGCAATGTCCACTTCGTAATGTAGGTCTTATGTTTATTTCGTAATAAAACGCGGATAGGTACAAGTGTCTTACTTTAGAAATGAAATATAATATGGAAACAATTCGTTATATGAATCCTGTATGCATCACGATGACATGGTTAATTTACATTGTCGTAAATTTCTTTAGATTTCTTCCAACAATGGAAAAATTTGAACTTGAAGGAACTTGCACAAACGTCAACGGGCAACAATATGGATAAACGACAATATCCATTTGCAAAATTATCGTATGTCTCTACAAGTGACTTGGTGACTACTTGTAATTATTGAAAAATTACTTTCACTGTCCGTCAGTCAAAACCCATCGGTAGAGGAAAATTAAAAATTTATTTATTTTTATTCTAACGTTCTGAAGTCAATTAAAAAATCATAATCGCTGCAGTAGAAATTTATAATTTTTTTGTGTGGTTATAAAATTTTGCACTGTTTGTTCACGACCAATCGATCGATCGATCGATAGTTTATCTTTGAGTTCTCTGTTGCGGAAATCTGCGTCCTGAAAACACCGGGATTTTCGCGGTACACACACCTGTAACAGCTAAAAATCTAATAGCGCTGTCTTTCGTTGCACAGAATTTATTTTAAAACCAATAACCTACCCTAAGCTTTCATGTTCTCATTTATATTTTATTAATTGAATTCTCCCATTCGCATCCATGTTTATATAAACCTTTTTCTAAAGACAATTTCGTAGCTTTCTTAGTAATTGTAAAACCTACACATATAATATTATATTTATACTTATATCGCCGAATTTTCGCTCAGTTTTACAGCCTGAAAGACGTATGAGAACAGAACGTAAAGTTATGATTGCATTGTAGCCAATGAGATGTTACGCTAAGATTCTTTTCTATAAGACGAAAAATATATTTATAAATACTTCTGTTAAAATATTGCAACCTAGAACATATTTTATCTGTAATAACAGAGAGCAGGTAATTTTTATTTTAAAAAGGTGTCACACAGATTAAGAGCATTACTGCTAAACCGATTCAGAGGAAATTTCTGAAAATACATAAGATCTTGAGTTGTTTATTTTTTGTAGACGTAACCATTTTTGAATATATCCGTGATTTTTCGTAGTTTCTCACAAATGTCGTAAAAATTCTACAATTTAAATGCGCTACAAATATAATTTTTAAGGGACATAATTCAATCAACATTCTTAAATATAATTTATTTCAATTATTTTGCCTTAGGCGTAAAGTATAGCTTGTGGCGAATATCACAAACCATAGGCCTAATGGTGCAGTGAGATTAAACTCAACAAATGCGATAAAATGGTTTAGGATTGTTGTAAGGTAGTTCAACCGGATTCAACTCAAGAAATGAGATAAAATGATTTAGGATTGTTGTAAGGTAGTTCAACCCTGGAGTAATAATCAGAATATATTTTTGGTTAAAATTGATGATAATAAAGTATGTGAATGCATTAGCAAGTCTATTACAACGCCTGTTTAAGTAACGTGGTCATCACCATAATAACATAATCATTCGGCTCCCAGGCCCCGTGATCACCGGACTGCCGCGTTGCGGGTCCAATGGAGGACCGAAGTAATGTTGTTCCTATGGTAACACCCTTGTTTACGTCTTAACCTTATGCAATTTTGGAATAAATGGTATTCAAAAGTAATATTACGAAATGCACTAATTCTTATATTATTTTTTACGTACGTTCTTACACAAGAGACGTGTTTTGACCGTTGGTTAAATTAAACACAAAATTTAAATATTTTTAATAATTCGACATACTTATTTCAAGTGTCATTAGATTTTAAATATTTTGATAAACAGTTGAGTTAAGAAATAACTTCAATATTAAAATAATTCTGAAATTGTACCGTAAATTTGTTAAATTTTTTTTCTGTTTGTCTACTTATGACGTTAATATTATTTTAGGAGTTTCTCAACTATAAAATAACGATTCTTTTAAAATCAAACCAAAATATTTTCTTCCAGATATTAAATGCTACCAACTTAACTATTTATAAAGTATTTCTCAATAATTACAATGAATATTTAAATGCGGGTAACGTACTCTACGATTCTAACAATCTCCCATATTTAATAATGCAAGTTACTCGGTCTCTTTGCCGTGGCCTATCAGAATAATAATTTTTAAATCACTTAATTTTTTGGTGAAATGTTTTCATCTGGAATACACAAAAATATACTTAAAATATCTTAATGTTTTTTAAATTACTTCCTGTAGTTGAGAGGTAGGGCACAAAATACCTTTTGTTGTTAAGTGTTACTGCCTGTTTCGTATGTACCAACGACTTAAGTACGTAGGGTTTTAATTTTTCACAGCGGTCGATGACTTTCTTGTGGTAAAAGCTTACCGACGTTTCAGAGGTACTTGATGCCTCTGTCAATCGCCCTGATGATGGAGAGTTGAGTGGATTAGGTAAAATAATTTTTTGGAGAGAGATATTTATGAACTACTAATTTATTTTCGTGAATTAAAACACAGCTTAAGCCAGATAGAATTTTAAATTTTATTCTGTATTATATTTTTTATTTATAATAAAGGCATATAAACAATAAAATGAGTAGGCTACTAGTGTTTATGACATTAAATGCCTAAATGTAATATTTAAGTAGGTAAATTTTCGTAATTAGCTAATAAGGAGAGCAATTATTTTATATAAAATACTGAAATCAGCACACCATTGCCATTTATAAAATTATATAGTTGATTTATTTAATCTATTACATAAATAGTTAAATTTACGTGATAAATTAACTAATAGCGAGATCAATTAATTTGTAACGCAAACTTTTATTCCATTTTTAGTCGGAAGTATTTCACATGAATTACATTATTTTCGTCACTGATATTATGTAGGCCTAACTCAGTGAAATTGAGTCGATTATAAAAATTCCTACAAAACAATTTTTAAATACGAATTACAACTTTGTGACTAGTAGTTTATGAACCCATATCTGCTTCATCTGCGTTTACGTCACGGACAAATAAGCCTGTGTTCTAGTGTCGAATCCTCTGCTGGCCCTAAAAAAATATATGTATTATAGATCAATAACAGGGTCCTTAGCGGTACTAAACTTAATAAATGCACCATTAAACAAAGGTGGTACTTGAGAGGTGGGCCCGGTATTGTAAGTTACACATGTTAACATCCCGGAAATAACAAATCATCCCTCTGTTTCGAAAATTCATTCTATTTTCCACCGTCCGAAAGGTTTGTTGTGTGTGTGTGAGCGCTGGGCGATCTGTTATTGGGGGGGAACTAGGAGGGGCAGACGCCCTGCGAGAGACGTGGGTCCCTGTGCTTCTCTATTAACGTGGGGCCGGTCCTCATTCTGTATGTACGCCCTAACGAGGTCCGGGCAGTCCGCTGATGGATTGGCGGGAGACCAGGCCGACACCGCGGGAAGCCAGCTCCCGCGCACCCCGGTGTTGCTACCAACACGCGCCACCTTTACCCGAAATAGGACAAAAAGTCAATTTCTTACTCACCAAGGGCGCCCGAAGATGGCTGTCTTCCGCGTGGTATACAAGATAGTGACCGACGTTTCGTCATGCCCTGATCTGAGTGGATGTGGATATTTATCCGTCTCCG